TTATAATTATAATTACTTTTTTAAAAAAAAATACTTTGTATAAGTTATATTTTGACTTTTACACTATTTATTCATGTACATCACTTTAATTAATAATTACTCCATATTTTATACATAATCAAATATATATAAAAAATATATATATAAAAAAAAACTCTACAATCTACGAATGATTTGCCCAATTGGTGTTAATAAATAAATAAATTACTAAAATAGTGTTCACTTAAAAATATTTCTCAAAGTAGTGTTCATGTAGGTTCGAAAATTTCGAAGCTAGGAGTTAATATTGCTTCGTTTAAAAGTCTAAATTAAAAATTAGAGTCTCAAAACTAGTTCTCTTAGGTTTTATTATTTCACTATTGTTATACACTGCACGTTGATGGTAGATGCGGTCGGGAAGGAAGCATAGTCAATCTCTGAAATCACTATAATCAGGTATGCTTTCCTTCTTTTCTAATTAAAATTCAACTGAAATTTCTGGGGGGTTTACATAACAATTAGATTAAACTTTAACGGAACAATGTAAATTGGTAAAATTTAACCTATTTATGAAAAATTATTTGTGAGTATCGTCCGATTATACTCATATAAGCTTGGTGAATTAGACTTTGCAATTGTATATGTCAGACATGCACCACTTACAAGTGCTCAGAGTTCTAGGAGATTATTGGGTTAATCAGTATTCAATAGTAATTAGTTTTAAATTAATTGTTTCAATTTTTTTTTGGATGAAAATCTTGATGGGTTTTAGAGTTATACTCAAATTGACATTCTTTCGAGTGAATACATATTTTGTACAAAGACGTGAATCATCCAAAAAAAGGTTTCTTGATGGACATTTGTATAGCGATAAAACAACGAAGGACATAGAAGCAAATGATGCTAAAGCAGTTCATCACAAGGTTGAGATGTATCACCGAGACAATGGCATCTACCAAGTGACAACTGGTCGTGGCAATAGAGAACAAAAAAAGAGTTCTCATACCCATACAGTCAACCTTAGTCACAAAACTTGCACATGTAACAAGCTTCATACATACAAAATTCCTTGTTCCCATGTTCTTGCAGTATGTAGGTCATATAGTTTGTCACCAGCTCAATTTGTTGACCCATTTTATTCAAGTGGTGAATATATGGGAACATGTAGGGAAACTTTTAATCCTATCCCTGACAAAGACTATTGGACACATTATAAAGGACCAAAAGTTGTTGCCGATGCTAGTCTCAAGCGCAGTCCCGGACGACCTCCTTCCCAAAGATTACGAAATGAGATGGATGAAGGTAATCGAGCAAAGGTGACATGTAGTGTTTGTCGACAAAAGGGACACAATAAAAAAACTTGTTCATCAAGGTTATCTAATTTTTTAAGATAATTTTATTTCTTATATGTAAATATAGTTAGTCAAATGAAATTATTTTTCTTACTAACAATATTACATGTCTACTTTTTAACAGATCAAATGGAGCTTCCAACTCTACTTCTTGGCCAACATGACTCTTCAAATTTTCATTTGAAACATGAGCACACATCTGTATCTTGAGGGTTGTTGGATCATCATCTCCAAATTCATAAAAAACGGTGCTAAATTGAGTTTTTTTTTTTTATTTAGCTAGTATGACATGTTTTGAGTTATTTTGTAATGAAGTAATACCATCTCCAAATTGATATTGCATTGTAGAACTAGCAGTTGGTTTCAAGAATGGTGATTGAGTGCCCTTTGATAATTTAAATCCGTCTAAATAATGCATTATGTATTATGTTACATATACGTTTTTTTGACAAGGTTATATCCAAATCAAAAATGCTAAAATTTTTAAACATTTATATTACTTCGTATTCATAATCCATACTCTGGTCAAGATACCGTAAGCATTAAAAATAAAGAATTTGATGGTTTAAATATATGTATTTTTGGATTGTATTAGCCATTAATTTTTAATTCCTAGCTTTGTAATTTCCGAACCTACATGAACACTACTTTAAGAGATATTTTTAAGTGAACACTATTTTAGTAATTTATTTATTTATTAACACCAATTGGGCAAATCATTCACAATCTACATTAAAAAATTGTAGATTTGTTTTAATTTATAGTTTTACAAATATCAATTTCTATAAATTATACTCGTACTTATTGATAATTAAAGATTTTATTTTTTAAAGTAACGCATTGTCAAGTGTGCCTATCATTATGGAACACTTACTAAAAAAAACCGGATGAATATTAAAATTTCTTGATTTTATTGAAGTACTTTAAAAAAAAAAAACGGAATGAGTATTATATATTTACAGAGCGAAAAGGCATAAATATGCTTGTATATACTATATACTATATAGTCTTGAAGTCATGTGTTGACTTTAAAGAGGAGAGTGAGATGAGGTTAATTAGTCGTCGTGATCAGATTAAGCATTAAGGGGGCATTACCATTAACCAATAATAGTGTTTCACTAATTGGTATACACTAGACCCTAGTGTAGGTAGCCCAACCTACACTCCCTCTAAACGCAGCGTTTAGAGTTACTACCCACACCCCCTCCACTAACCCACAATAATTACCCACTCCCCACAATAACCGCAGTAACTGCATAACTAACTTCCCCTACCCCAGATATATATATACATAAAAAAAAATAAAAAATAAAAACAATTTCAAATCATTCTCTCTCTCTAAACACCATCTTCTTCATTTCTCTAGAGTTTCTCTCTCATCAAACCCAACGAATCACAACAAAATCATACTCCAAAATTGCTTCAAATGTTTGATATTCGAGAAGAAATTAAACAATCACAACAAAAAGAGTAAGTAATTTCGTTAGTTTTGTTCATTTTTTGAGATTGTAGTGCAATTTTATGTGTGAAACCTTAATTTTGTTCATTTTGTTGCGATTGTAGTGCGATTTTGCAAAAAACCACTACAGAGAAGAACATGCAAGAAGAAACTGCAAAATCGGAGCAAAATGTATCTAAAGTAGGTAATTTTGTTCATTTTCTTTCGATGACAATTATAGTGCGATTTTATGTGTGAAACCTAATTTTTGTTCAATTTTTTGCAATTGTAGTATGATTTTGGAGAAGAATACTTCAGAGACGAGTAATTTGTTGAAAATTTCTGAAGAAATGTATGAACCCTAACTTTTGTAAAACCTAATTTGTTCATATTCTTGCGATGAAAATTATAGAGCGAATTTATTTGTAAAACCTAATTTTTGTTAAAAAAATTTGCGATTGTAGTAATTGTTCTAAGATTTTACTGAAAATAACTAAAACATTAACAATTTATTAAATAAAACAGAGACGATGATGATGATGTACCTCTTTAGTCAAGAGTAGACAAATTGAAAAAAAACCGCCAAAATGATCCAATTGTAGATCCGGAACTTTTAAAAGATATTGACAAGTCAATTGGTACGGATTTAACAATGTCTCCACTACCAAGGTAATTAGTCATTTACAGAATATATTATGTTCATGTCTAATATGCTAGTTGTATTTGATAAAAATTGGTTTTATCTTTGTTTAATATGTTATTTGTATATGATCATATTTGATACTCATAATGTTCATTTATAGATATAGTTATGATCATATATTTATATTTGTTCATATGAGTATTTATTGAGATTTAAGAGCAAAAGTACATTTCATTGAAACATCATTGTATATGATCATATTTGATACTCATAATGTTCATTTATAGATATAATTATGATCATATATGTATATTTGTTCATTTGAGTATTCATTGAGATTTAAATAACAAATATGCATTTCATTAAATCATCATGCACAAATATAAATATGATAATAATCATTTCAGTGATATGCATTCAAACTAATTTCATGTAATTAATTTGTAATGTAGTGCTGTGCCATTTAGAGTGATACACTTGCTTCAATTTAGAGATGGGAAATCTGAACCATCAACTCTAAAGAAGGTTATAGAACAAAATGAATATGGTAATAGTTATGAAAGATACACTTTAAACAAGTAAGTTTATTTGTATAAAATAATTGTTTTTACATTCAATTATTGTACATTGTATATATATACCAAAATTATTAGGTAATTCTTAAAATTTTAGTGAAAAAAAAAGGTTCGAGTGAAATTTGTTATGTCAAAATCAAGACCACCAGAGACAAATCAAACAATAAGGTATAAAAGCTTTATACCAAAATAACTAATTATCTTCTTCATTGTATAAATTAGTTCATACTTTAATATCATATTATATAAAATAATTCTGTTTTTTTTAAGTGAACAAAGTGAGAACATTCCTGCTACTAATGCAACAACTAAGAGTGTGTCTGCTACACATAACACAACTGACAAAGAGAGTAGGGATGAAAGGTATACTAATGATCAATTTTATATAAACAAATGTTCATTTTTATAACAGTATATTTTGTGTACAATTTATGTGCATTTTTTATTAAAAGTATTTCTTAAAATTGATTTCAGCAGCAAAAACAAGTTCAGCCAGAAGAGCAGAGCAATCCAGACAGGAATACTCCTGAGAAAAAGGACAAAAATGAAATTGATAAAAGGTATAAATATATAATGTTCATTTCATTTTTGATAACTATCTATTTTGTGTACCATTTATTTCATTTTTATTTAAAGTATTTCTTAATATTGATTTCAGCAAGCAAGAAGAGGTTCAACCAAAAGTGCAAAGCAATCCAGTAAAGAATAGTGTTGGCCAAAAGTAAGAAAACTTAAATGTTCAATTTAGATAGACTATATGTTCATTTGAAAATCAGTACAAAAAAGTTTGCTCATGGCCAATAGTAATATAAGTTATATGTTCATTTTTTTATTTACTAATCAAAATTGTAAATTCAAACATATTTTTAATGAAATATCATAAAACCCAAAGATGATGCAAGAATAACAACATTAAAGGACAAGATGCAAGAAATACATTTAGGCATAGAAAGAAACCCAAAGTATGTTTAAATTTAAATAATTGAATTAATTTAATCAATTAATGAATATATTTCAAAGTTATATAACAATATCATACATTTACAGGAAGTACAAAGAATCGACAATCAGAATTATGAGAAATCTCAAAAGAATGGAAAAGGCAAGCAAGGAAATCAGGAAAGGTAAATGATCATATTTATTGAATATTTTTGTTTAATAGTCATAAATATCAATTTTAATAATATTATTACTTTTGAAGGTGAAGCAAAAAAGAAAGAAAAAGGGCCAATAGAAGAGAAAACTGTGGAAAAAGGTAAAAATTTTAAAATGTACATTTTTATTACAAAAAATGTTCATATTGGAAAAGCATAATATTAAATATTCAATAAGATTAAAAAAATTAAATTTTAACCAAATAAATTTTAATAGAAGGACAAGAAGGAAAAAAAGGGACTGAAAAAGAGAAAAGCCCTAAAGACAAAACTGTGGAAGATGTCTTTCCAAAGACAACAAATGTAGAAGGTAAAAATTTATAAATGTACATTTTTATTACATAAAATGTTCATATTGGATCTACATAATATTGAATGTTCAATAAGATTAAAAAAATATATAAATATTAACTAATTAAATTTTCATAGAAGGACAAGAGGGAAAAAAAGAGCCTGAAAAGGAGAAAATCCCTAAAGAGAAAACAGAGGAAGATGAGTCTACAAAGACAACAGATCCGAAAGGTAAATAGTGGAAAATGTACATATTCATTATCTGAAATGTTCATTTATATTGTATATAGTAAACATTTGTCATCCAATTTAAATAAATGTTTATTTAATCTTTTATATTTGATCATTTCATATGCAGCACAAATTGCACCTGATTTTGTTCAAATTGAGGATGAAACTTATCTTCTAGATCAAGATGATGATAAAGTTTCCACAAAACTTAGTGAGGAGACAGCTCCATCATCACAAAAAAGTGATCAGTCAACCAAAATGAAAACAAGATACAAAATGGTTGCAAGGAAAAACAAAAACAAAAGCCTTGTTGTTGTGCCAAGTGGTAGAATTACAAGGAGCCAAGGTAATCATAATACTTTTCTGTTTCACAATAAATATTACACTTTCAAATATACTAACATAAATTTTATTTAAAAACAATAGATGTTCTGTTAGATGAATCTGAAAAGGGAAGCCTGAAGAAGGATGTTGAACCTGCTAAAGAAACCGCAAAAATAGGACAGAAGAGAAGAATGTCTACAAGGACTTTTCCTATTCAAAAGGAAGCTGATGCACCACCTCCAGCACCTACTCCGATAAAAAAATTGGCAGGTGCTCCTGCTGAATATCCTCCAGACCAAGGCAAAAAGGGTAAATGTTCAATCTTAATGTATAGAATGATCATTTATGATGGTATATCATTAATGTTCAATTTCAATATATAGGTGGGGAAAAGAAAACTCCAGAAGAAGTGAAGAAAACCTCTAAGGTTGCTGGCAAAAGAAAAGCAGGTATATAATGATATATTATAAATGTTCAATTTCTATATATAGAATGATCATTTGAGAAAACAATTTTGTTCATTTTATCATTTGCTTACTGTACATTTTCAATACTTAAACAAAATTATATATTTAATTTTCAGATGTTAGTCCTGCCAAGAGAAATGCTGGAAAGAGAAAAAAATACAAGAAGTACCATCAGATGAACCCTCTCAAGATCCTACTGATGAAAGTTCTACTGACAGTGATGATGATAGTGAAGAGTCAGTTTATAGAGCAGAAGCAGAGCCTGTCAGTGAGGATGATTATGAGGTGGAGGAAGAGGAGGAAGAGGAAGAAGTAAAGCCAAAGAAGAAACAGGCAAAGAAAGGGAATTCAGTGAAGGCAAAGGTTGAAAAGGAGGAGCAAAAGATGGTACTGTATGATGAAGGAAAGATTAAAGGTAGGGGAAAAAAGAAAATGAAAACTGAAATGGTTCAAGCAATAGAAACTGATGAAGTTGAGGAAATTCAGGAAGATGAATTTGAGGAAGAGAAATCTTCAAAGAGAGGAGGACATGTGAAGTTCATTGCATGGATAAAAAAGATGACACCTACCCAAAAACAACAAGTTGTTGATATAGGGTTAGGATCACTTCTTGACATTAGTTTACCTTAACTTGATCAAAAGTTTTGTAACTGGTTATTGGGAAGTTTTGAAGAAAATAGCCAGTGTTTTGAACTACCAAAGAATGAAAAAATAGAAATTGAGGTAGAGGATGTTAGGGTAGTTTATGGCTTGCCTACAGGAGAAATTCCAATTGTTGAGCCAAAGTCTGATAAAATTAGTGAGGAGTATGCAGAATTTTGAAGAAATGGAGAAAATCATGGCCAGGAAAAACTCCATCAGTGAGTCAGGTATGATCAGTTTTAAATGTTCATTTTAAATACATTAAATGATCAAAAGTATAAATGTTTTGTTCATTTTGTTTGCAGATTGTGAATGGATACATAAATGATAAATTCACCAACAACAGACCACCAAGTGAACATTTCATTACTAACTTTTTAGCAGTGGCTGTGAACTGCTTGATGAAATGTGTATCAAACAATCAATGCCATTTAAAATTTCTTTATTCTATGATGGACAAAGAAAACATAAAAAATTTGAACTGGTGTCAGTTTGTATATGGCTCACTTATCAAATGTCATGTTGATTGGAGAAAGCAGCAAGGCAAGGGGTTCTACAAAGGCCCTCTTCAATTTCTGATGGTATATAATTGAACAACCAATAATTTCAACAAATGGTAATATGTTCATATATTTAATAATAATGTACATAAACTTAAGTAGAAATGTTCATTTCTAATTATTATGTGTAAATACTATTAACTTAGTGTATCTCCAAAATGATGATTTATAATACAGCTGGAGAAAAGGATGTGGGTAAAACTTCAGCAGCTTCAGAACAAAGAATTGAAGAATTTTCTAGAACTGGTATAATGTTCAATTAAAAAGTGTAAAATGTTCATTTACAAACAAGAAATATTCATTATTAATTGTATTTTTTTGTTAGACGCAGCAACTGGTTCAAAATTTGATGCTGACACTAGGTCATATAATGAAGGATTGCCTAGAACAGGTATAATGTTCAATTATAAATACTCAAATGTTCATTTACAAAGAAATAATATTATATCTAATTAATTTTTTTCTTAGATGCAGGATCTGGTTCAGTGGTTGATGCTGACCCTAGGTCAGATGGTGGTGAAAAAAGTGATGATCCAAAAAACACAGTTGGAGGTGGAAAACAAAACAAGGAAGATGTTTTTGAAAAAACAAAAAATGATGAAAAAGTGGAGGGGTAAAATCCTGAAGACATGTCTTACTATTAGGGTTATGTAATTAGTAAGGATAAAATATCTAGATGGAACAATTTAACTTATGTTACTATCGTGTTGTAACTTGAAACTGGAGTTTCTCAAACTATTGTATGTGTGTACATTATTTTGTTGAATATGTAATATGAATGTGTGGTTTATGTTAAATCAATATCTTTCATTTTATGAATTGAAAATGATTCAGGGTGTTACATAAGAAGCTTATATTTTATTAATATGTACTGACATTGTTTGACTTTTCAGTGAAAACAAGAAGATTGTTGCTTCATCCTCAAAAGTCACAAAAAGGTACATTATTTATATTAAGTAAATGTTCAAAAATAATAATGAACATTTTCATATACCTAAATGTACATTTTTGTTATGTAATATGACCAGGAATGATGATAAGAAAAAGTCAATTGCAGAAAAGAAGAAAAAAACTAAAAAGGAAAAGGTTGAAAGGTATAATTTCAAATTTATTTATATACACTCAAATGTTCATTTATGTTCCTCATAATTTTCTTAATTTAACAATATTTTATATTGAACAACAAGACCAAAATGCGAAAAGCAAACAATTCCTCCTGCTTTCCGATCTCCTTACTTGGTCAAGTACAAGGATCTGTTTAAAGATGAGAAAGCCATGAACCAAATTGCAGTAGACTTTGCTCTTGGTGGAAAAGATGAAAGGTAATTACTTACACTAATTAAACTTAAGGTTTAATATCTTTTATAAAAATATGTTCACATTCATATTATTAAATGTTCATAATGCAGTGCACTCTTATACTATGATGGCTTGAATCTCATCAATAGAAATGAAATGAAAACTCTTGGAGATGATGTTGAAGTGACAAATTGTGTCATAGATGGATGGGCAAGGTTTCTTAATCATAAAAAGCCGAGAAACAAGATTTATTTCTCAACAGTGCTTCATGTTAGTCTTTTTTCTTTTTTTATATTATTGATTCTATTTTCCTATGATAAATAATTGCTAAAAATTCATTTAACTTCTATATATTTGTTTCTATTTCAACATCACATTATGTGCACAAATAGAGTTTGTCGAGAAGGATCATCAATGAAGACAAGAATTAATGCCTTCATAGAAAGAATTGACAATGAACTGAAGTTGAATAAAATTGACAGCATTGTTGGATATAAACAGGTATTAATTCTTGTTTAATACAAATGTTCAATTACATTCAATATATTGTCCAATAACATTATATAATTTGTTCAGGTCTTCTTCCCAGTATCAACTTCTCAACATTTTTTTCTGTTGTGCGTCAATCATATAGAAGACAAAATTCATATAATTGACAATAGAAAACTACCAAAAAAGGTATCAGTCCAAGCAAAATACGAAGAACAACCAAAAATGATGGTGAGATAATATGTTCATTTATAGTTGGCTACATGATCAATTATATTTTATTAATTGTTCATGTCTTCATCACAATACAAACTTCTAAACAATTTTTACTCTTTTTTCTATCAGTTAAAAGGATTGGCAGAGTACATGAAACACCTTGGATATCAAGATGCAAAAAGAATTGAAGACTACACAGTTGTTTTGGAAAAGATGAAATGGCGTAGCAACAATGACTATACAAACTGTGGAGTTTACATTATGAAGCATATGGAAACCTTCAATGCTGATCCTAATGAGAGCTGGATTTGTGATTTAAAACCAAACAATGTAAGAGTTATAAATGATCAATTATTTAAGATATAATATTCATTTATGAAACAGTAAAGATTGTTTAATTAAAATTTGACAATTCATTTTGTTCAACAGGTGGAACAAATTAAAAATCTAAGGCTCCAATACACAGCAGAACTGATGTTATTTGAAGAAAACACTGAATCAAGAGCAAATAGAAGGAAAGCTAGAAAATTTGCAACTTTGTAGTTTCAAATGTTCATTTACAACTATGTATATGTTCATTTCTTATATATGACTATTTTTTTTTTCTTTTTTTAAGAAATAGACTTATGGATTTTATTTTAATATTATTGTAATTGATATTTCATTTTAATCTTTGAATGAAAGTTTTTATATTTTATTTTAATATTATTGTAATTGATATTTCATTTTAATCTTTGAATGAAAGTTTTTTATAAGTTTTATAAATTGGATGTTGGTTCTTACTTTTGTTCATATACAAATGACTAAATAATCATTGATAAATGTAGAATTTTAAAACATATAAAATTCTAATGACTAAATAATCATTGATAAATGTATAATTTTAAAAACATATAAAATTCTAATATAAAGTTCAAATATACTAAAAATAGTACTATATAAAATATAATATTTATGTCTTTTACATAATAGATCGAAAATTCAAAATTACAAAATAGTAATTAAATCAACATTACAAAAAAGTCTAATGTTTATAAAGTTCTGGAATACTAATTATTTATCTTTATTAGCCAAACGTTTAGCTACACTTGTATAAAAAAAGGCTAACAACCTATCATACTTAGAAGAAATCTTTTTAGAACCTAATTGAACATTTCTTGATTGAAGAATTGGAACACGAGCACCTTGATCATTTCTTTGAACTGTGGGAGGAGTAACTTGAACATTCTGAACACGAAATCCTTGATAATTTATTTGAACCGTAGGAGAAATAACTTGAACATTTGTTGATTGAACATTCCTGGAGTTGGATATGATCATTTCTGGATTGGTGTTTGAACAATTATGAGTTTGATTTTGAACATTCCTGGGAACAGTAGGTTGAATAACAACAGGAGATTTTGTTGACGCACTAGTATGAATTGGAACTCTTGGATTAATTTGAGAGTAAGTTTTAACACCAGAAGCACCTTTATTTGCACCAACATTAGAACGAGGTTGAACAGCAGAAACACCTTCAAGATTTAAATCCTTCGCCTTTAAAAAAAATTAAATTGATCATTAATAAACCAGTATATGATCAGTTACAAACACTTATACAAACAAATATGGAAAAAAAAACCTTAGCAATAGATGAAATATCAACATCAATAGATATGATAGATGAAAGAGAGCTTTCACCAGTAGCCTACAAAAAAACCAAAAAAAAAATATAAAAAATAAAAAATAAATAAAAAAAAATTATAATATAGATCATAAATGCCAAAAAATAAAATAAATTTATAATCAATAACAAACAAACATACCTGATCAAAATCATTGGAAATACTATGATTTGATTCCTTAGAACTAGAAGGAATATCTTCTACAACAGCTGATTTTAAGCCGACCTATATTTTTAAATTATAAAAATCAATATTAATAAAATATAAATAAAATGTTTTTTTTGGCACATTTGAATTTACCTGAGCCTGTTTATTGCTCAAAACAATCAATTCGATGGGATCACTAATAGAATTAGCATAAGTAACAGCACAACCGTTCTCATCAAGTTCCTATTTAAAAAAAAAAAAACATAAATGATCATTTACGAAAACTGAAATGATCAATTTGAAAATATGAAATGATCATATACCTGTACAACTGCTTGCCCTATACCCCTTTTGTAAGGAGTGTACAGAGACTTTTTCCTCTTGAAATTACCCTTTGCCTTGTTACTCTGCTTCTCCAAGGTGCTCTTAGGCCTTACATTCCTCTCACCTTTAGGCCTAGCTTTTGGAGGATTCTTGATCTCAAGATCAACAATTTCAACCTCTTTAACAGGTTCACTAAAGTCAATTACACCTGATACACTCTCAACCTTTTCTTTTAACAGATTGAAATAACACTCAACCTCTGCCCTTGCATTCAAAGAATTCTGACAACTTGTTATCAACTTAACAAACTTTCTGATTGTTTGTGACCTCCAAACACTAGTAGCCACAACATTTGTCCTCAAAGTAGGTTCTTCAATACCATGACTACACATGGCAGCCTTTGTCCATCGTTTCATTATATACTTTTGTGGAATATTACGCACACAATGCAAATGATATACTCGAAGAGAATGAGAACAAAGTAAACCAGTCTCACTAAAGTACATGCATGTGCAACAAATTGCATGTGTTTCCTTATTAAAAACAACTTCATGCTTAATTATATCCTTCCCAGGCCTCCAAAGAAGATATGAATATTCTGGAAAACGCAAACCATTATCAACATGATCATAAGCTGTCCCCCTAATGAACTCCTCTTCAAAAAGCACATAAGCTTGAATAGTGTACAATGATCTTGCATAAACTAATATACCAATATTAGCAAAAGCTAGGTGCCTATTACCCCTCAGAGTATTGTAATCTCTTGCACCTTCCTTACTTCTCCACTCAGAAATGACATCAAGAAAAACATGATAAAAATCACATAAACCTTGAGTCTTATTAAGACGTTGTGAAACTGACTTATTAGTAGTTTCACTACGTTGAGAAGACAATATACCACCAGACCAATACTTCTTAGAATAAGCAGGACACCACATTTCCTTTATTTTATACAAATCACATAACCAATCATCATTTTCACATTTGTATTTATCACACATCCTGTATAACAGAAATGATCATATATTAATTTAAAAATGAACAAAATATAAATTAAAATATGTACATTTGTATAAAGAATAATGATCATAAACAATATGGACACTAATAATATTATGATAACATACATAACAAAGTAAATTGTATGATCATATGTAAAACACTAAATGTTCATATATATATCACATAATAATCAAATATATCACATAATAAAAATAAAAAATAAATACAAAAAACAATAATTTACCTTTTCCAGAAATATTCAAATTCAGCAGGAGTTTCACAATACTTCAAAAGATATCCAAACAAATCTGTAAAGCCTTCCAAAGCTCTCAATGCTCCAATGTGTTTCTTAGAATTTTGTTCAAGATGCCATACACATAAACGATGATGAACAGTTGAAGGAAAAATGTTTCTTATACCCGCTGCAATCGCTTGTGCTTGATCAGTCATAATTGTAATGGGACTTTTCCTCCCCATTGAGTGCAAAAATGTATCAAACAACCAATCAAAAGACTCGGTGCGCTCATTAAGAATAAAACCCATACCAAACATGACATTGTTACCATGATGGTTCATTCCAACAAATGGAGCACATATCATTCCATATTTATTAGTTCTATAAGTTGTATCAAAAACCAACAAATCTCCAAAGTAATGATAATCTCTCATCATCCTACCATCACGCCAAAAAAAACTAACTAAAGCACCACTATCATCTTGTTCAAAATCATAATAAAAATCTGCCTCATCCACATGTCTCTTGGCAAAATATTTAATCAATTGGTTACTATCACATCCTTCAATTTGGGCAGCTTTTTCAGATGACAATGCATTATAAGCATCAGAAGCAGTAAAACAAAGATTAGGAGATCCCCCAACCTCCTTCTTTAGAACCCTCAAAGAATCAGTAACTTTGACTCCACTCAATTTCATTGTTGAAATGAAAAGAAGCTGCTCTTTATTCACATCTCTTTGAGACCTTATCAAATGCCTTTTTTCAGGAGGAATCATAGCATGATTATGAACCATTTCATGTCTTGTACATGTATAGACCCCTAAATGATCAATATGAAACTGCACAAAAGCTAAACAACCAGTTCGATGATCCAACTTCTCATAAATCCTTTTATTCTTACACTTATTATCTTTGAATCCCTCATTACAACAAACAAATCTTTTCATCAAAAAAGAATCATCTCTTCTTCTCTTACTCTTCCCAATTTGAATTCCAAAACCTTTCCTAAAAGCATATTCATTATACGCTTCAAAAGCTTCATCTTCAGATTTAAATTCTTTATCCTTTAATTCAGACTGTTCTGCTTCTAAATACATAATATCATCATTTTTTTCCACTGCACAATATACAATTATAAATGATCATAAAGAGTTTCATGAATGAACAATAACAAATAAGTAAAATGTTCAATATCAAAACAACACATGATCAATTGCAAAAAGAATTTCAGCACATAATATTTTGAACAATATTTTCATTATTTACCACTACACATAATATCGATATAAAAATGTAAAAATAAATGATCAAAAATGACTTTAAGACTGAACATAAACACATTAGTAAGTATGAATAAGAAAACATAAACGATTAATTGAAAGTATAATCTACAAAATATACGACAAAAACACACAATTCTAAAACACAGAGAAAACAACAAATGAAACAACAAATGAAGCAACAAAATGTTCATACAAAGTATAACAATCCAAAAACGTTCATCATAATGTAATCAAAGTAGTAAATTCAAAAATCGAAAGTGAATAATAATACATCAATTAAGTTCAAATTAACAGAGCATTATAACAGAACAAATTAGAGATAATTAAAAATTGCAAAATTATGATCACAATTACTCACATTGTTGCACAAACGAATCAACCAAACGAACTCCAGAAGGAAACACACGCTCGCAATCACGATCAAAATCAACGCAATCTCCAGATGCAGAATTCGCCATTGATGATCGGTAACAATTAACGAGTTCGTTCAAAAAATCAAATGAAGAAGATGAATTAGCGAGAGAAAAATGTAGATAAAAAATGGAGGTTGATCAATTGAAGAGAGAGAAAAAATAGGGTTTAAAATCATATATATACATAAATTGAATAATAAGAAACAAAGAAAAAAGGAAAAAAGAGGAAGAAAAGAAAAAAAGAAAAAAAGGAAAAAAAAAAAAAGGAAAGAATCGCAAAAGGAAAGAAGCTGCACATGAGAACTCAATACCAGCTACAAAACGACGTAGCATAGGAGGGGTGTAGGGAACACACCCTACACTAGGGTGTAGGGTAAAATTTTCAGTGTTTCACGTGTAATTATATTATTGGGCTTTGATTAACGGGCTTAATTTTAGACTTCAGTCCACAATTCAATTTATCCTTCCAGTACTTCAAAGTTCAAACCCAGCAATTTCTTTCCATTAGGTCCACTGTTTTTCAACTACACAAATCTATTTTGATTGTCTACTTTTGGCATTTATCAATATCACTTATTTTCGGGATCCTAAAAGATACTATTTTTTTCACATTATTTTCAATTATTTTTGAAAACAAATTGAGATTAGGATAAGATAAGTTTAAGAAATTATTTTCGATAAATTTAATCCAATAAGGCAAAAGCTAATGAGCGTCCCCAGGAGGCCGGGACGTTAGATAAGAGAATTAAAAGTGAAAATATTAGAGTAAAACTAACATTAATTACACCGAATGACGCGTGATTTTATCATGCATTCCTAGGTTAATATTGTTTTAACCAATATAATTATTCCTTATCTAACGCCCCGGGGCGATTAATGGTTACTATAACCAAGTTATACCACAAAAATTAAAGTTTATCTCACTAGTAGAATAATTTGAAGTAAATCAAGATAAGTTTAGTTTAATTCAAACTAAAATCGTTAGATCATAGCCTCATAGGTAAAAATTAGGTGAACAAAAAACACTTCTAATAATCATTTTTTACAATTTGTTTCGTAAAAAAATAAATGCAAAATTAAATCTTGCTAATTTCTACTAGGTAAAATGATTTAATTTGTATCATCATAAGCACTTTTACACTATTTACATAATTTCTCTTTTGTTATTTATCAATAAGGAAAAACATAATCATCGAGTCATTTAAGATTTCATTAAACTCGTTTAATTTCGAAATCTATTTTTTAAATATCAACTTTTTATATGTAGTAATTCATATTATGTCGTTGTAAATAATTGTTGATGGAATTACAGTGGTGGCATACTAATGAAAGTCAATTAATGAGTACCCTTAGAAAAAATGACAAGTTGACGACTAATAAAACTTCATGGAGAAAGGTGCAGCTTATCAATTGGTTGGATGGTGGAAATTATTGTATAGTATTATTATTGTACCATGTATTTTTTTATTTTTCAGGGGTTGCAAATGGATAGGTAGAATTATTCTACACTTTTTTTAGTGCTTTAATTTGCACCCTTTGCAAGAGCTAAATGACATTAAGAATAACATCATTAGACATAGAAGAGTAAATTAGTACATGTAATGTAACTATATAACCTTTTTTTTTTTTTGACGAGAACTATGTAACATTTAAAATATGTCTTTTCTCGTCTTACCATATTTTTTTCACGGTGCAGGTAATTAATTGATTTCGTCTTTTAGTAAGGAATATCTCAAGTCAATATTTATGAAATGCAAGTAATGTAACTCAACTTCTTTTAAAAAAATAAAAATAAATAATGTAACTCAACTTTTAGACATGTATGTGTACCTTACGTTGTTTCAATATTGGTCATAGTTACAATTATTGCAAGTGTAAATGTACAAAAACGATGAGGTTTGTGTTAAAAAAAAAATTGATGGAGTATTGCATGCGAGAATTTGTAATTAGTATTAGGAAATAAAATGTTATTGGGATAGTAAGATGTGATAAAATATAATGTGATACAGAGTACTAATTATTATTAATAAATAAAAAAACGGAGCAAACTAAAATGAAAAGTTTTCTTTACAAAATAGAACGAACGGAATTGTAAAATGTAATTAATGAAAACGAACATAGTAAGTGAGACTTTTTGCATAGAAACTATGGGAAATTTAATAGGAAAAAGGATGTTTATGGGTGAACTAACAAATATTGTCATCATGTCATGGTCTAATCCAATGGATGTTCATTTGCATAAGACATTCTTACAAAATTAGATACAAGTATAAAATTAAATTCATTAGCATTAACTCCATTTTTATGAATGAACCACTAAGGGTACGAATTTTGACTAGTTTGAGGAGTTCCTAATGCGGTGCATTAAATTATTGTCATTGCTACACCATAACAAATTATCAACAAATCTGTAAAAGCATTCGAAAATATTGATCTTGACAACTCTTAGCTAACCAAACTTTAATTTTCAGTTTCAAAGTTTCACCCTAATGTGGAGTAATTATTCCATTTTATGTTCTTTATATGTATGACAATGGGTGCACTAACTTTATCTAATTGATTACCACTTATCATAATTATTTATTAATTTTTAAATTGTACTTATTTTTCTAACTAAATTGTACTATGTAGTTTTTATAATTCATTTTCCTGTATATATAAGAATAAGGTGATAAAAACATAACTTGTTTAAGACTTCTTTAATTTTTGGGGGATTTTACCGTATAAAGGTCCATTATGCACAAGTATGAAAGTAATACTAACTTGTCTTATTAACTTAAACTTTCTAAAATCATGCTACATCTATCAAACCATATGGACTACAATATTTGTTGTTTTCTTACTTACTACTAAATTATGTAATTTAATCACACATTACTAAAAATTATGGAAAAACATGTACTCGAGAAGTATATTTGATACAAACTAATCTAATTAACTAGATCTCACTTGATCTAAAGTAATATTTTTTCATACAATCATACTTGTCAAATTTTTATCAAACTTATAACATTGTATCAGACTAGTGACCAGACCACACTAGATCCAACCAAGTTTATTTGAGGTCATTAGAAATCACTACAATTGAAACCTCTAAAATTGATGCATACCAACACTTAATTTTTGACCAAGAAGAAAATCTGATTGGTAAACATGACTTTATCTTGAAAAAACTGAAAAATAAAGGTAGCAAAGAGAGGAATGACCCCTAGATTGGTAGAGATGCGTCACGTACTTCCCCTTCCATCACGTTTTAGGACTACTATGCTAACTACGCTTTTATGAATCATGGATACTGTTTTTATTTATTTTTTATTATTTTTAATTAATAAAGTGGGTCCCAACTTATACCAGGCTTAGGCAGTTTTATTTTTTATTTTCAAGATTAGTGGTGGTAAGATTATTGGCCTATTAAGGTGTTACCTAATGTTGTTTTACAGTTTCATATTTCATTGACTTTTTTTTTTCTAATTAAAAAAGAAAAAAAATGCATATAATTCCAAGATTTATCGGCATTGTGACATCATAGAAGCCATGTAAACCAGAACAATTAAAGCATCAAGGCTCTTTTATTAGTGTTTTTATTATTATTATTATTATTATTACAATAATTTCTTTTCTAAAGATAAGAAAGGGCCAACCAAACTTTCTTTGGATCTTTACCCATGTCTCTTGTGATGGTAATTTTATTTACATTGTCTATTAAATTTTTTCAATTAAATCCATAATTTCTCATAAGGTCATAATCTTATATCCCTTAAGATAATGAAGATATATTATTGGTAAAAACTATTTATTTCAATTGGCAAATTTAATAGTGGCCAAAATAACAAAATAATTAATTAATAAGAAAATAATTGACAATTTAAAGTACTAAGGGCGTATTCGGCGCTAGCTTTTAAGTAGCTTTTAGTGGTTTGACCAAGTCAAACCACTACTCAACAAAAAAAGTGAGTGTTTGGCAAAGTAATGGTTCAAGTAGCTTTTAGTGGTGGAGGTAGCTTTTATTAAAAGGTAGGATTATTAGCTTTTGAAGTTAGAGGTAGCTTTTAAAGTAGCTTTTGAAAATTTAATGTATAGTTTTAAAAATAAAATATTGATTCTTAAATGTAACAACTAGTCAACCACTACTTTACCGAACAATCATACCTAAATTATCTTTTTTCACAGCTAACAGCTTGTTGACAACTAACAGTTATCTCCACAGCTCACAACTACCTTTTGCCGAACATGCCCTAAATATACTTATAATTTAATAGCATTGTGTGAGGATTGTTAGATGGCAATCTAATAAAAAGCAATATTTGATATGGATTATAGAGCATACTCACTAATATGAGATTAAATATTTTTTCTTTGAAGTTTTTACCAACTACTCTAGTTGGTACCCGCATAATAGAAAGTAGTAATAAGAAAAATTCGCTTGGTTTTTGAGAAATATAAAAAAGTAATGAAAGTAAAATTATGCGTGATTTTTGAGAAATTTGAAACTAAGTCTCAAAGACAATATTATTGAAAATAATTGTTGACCTAGGATTAGAGTCGTAATCTAACGAGAGATTCAAGTGACACAAATGTATTTATGGAAATTGGATCCATGAAGTGTGAGCTAATCAACAATGGATGGTAATGGGAAATAATATGGTGAAACGACATGATATGTGAACATACAACGTGTGATTGTATATTGATTTATAGCTACATATCAGGATTGCCTTTTATAGTTTGGAGAAAAGGAAAAAAATTTGTCAGGTAGTTATTATGATTGAAGTTAATTAATGATGTTTGTTGACAGTTTTTTAACGGTCTTATAGTTAAAATCAGCTAACTAATTCTAGAAATCTGTTTGCGCGCTTAATAATTGTTTACCGACCATTTAAACACAAAACCTGAGCGAAATGAGTTTTGTATATAGTTTATCATGCATGTAATGATTTAGTTTTTTTTTTTTTTTTTTTTATTTTTTTTTGGGTTTTATGAGCACACTAGATCAATTACAAATTCTTGTTTAAAAATACTTCTAAGTAATTAGATTTTAAGTAAATCAAGTCACTTTACACTCCACCAAGATCAATTCTTAATTAGGAATAATCGAGGAAGGATTGTGATTTTCTCTTTAATGCAATGATATACTTGGTATATGGTTTAAGTGAACCAATAATATTGATAATTTATTGAGGAGAACGACATTAAAAGCTAATCGATGAGAATACCATACATGTCCATACACAGGTATATGCTTCTATGATTTTTTGGTTGGATGAATGAACTATAGTATATACAGGATAAGCAACGAGTCAAATCAAGTTCTAGATAGTAGTCAGTATGTGGCCTCTCTCTCACTGCTTTTGTATGAAATACATAGTTTGTATTAGATTGACTAACTATACAATATCCATATGACAAATACAGAGCATGGTTATTTCTAAAGTATATTCTAAATTATATTAGTTATCAGAATATAATCGAGTATGATGCGATCAGATACATCTATGCACATTACAATATATGCATTTGTTATAAGTAGTTTGATTTCATTAATCAAATACTCACAATAACAACCCAATAATCACAAGAGATTTTGCAATATTGTTTGATTGTGAGAATTGTTTTCAAGGGTCAAAATCAATATTATTAAAACAAATGATAAAGAAAAAACAACTTTTCTAAAACCATATAGGTACATATCAACACCATACAATCATATATTTTACAAAATGATTGCCCCCCTCCCCCCCCAAAAAATCTTATTAATTATTAGCATTTTAATCTTATGAAACATAATCAAACTATAAATCAGAATATCTTCTTAAATTACCGCGTAAAATTTACGAGTTTTCAATTTTATAAATGTTCAAAGGATTTGGGCTTAAGTGATGATGGGTAATTGTTGCTTGCATTTATCTCCCAATAATGGACTTTCTTGCAAACTAAAGCACAATTTTATGCGAGGTGTGCATAGAATAGAAGAAAAGTCCATAGTCAACAGGGATATTCTTTAACCCATTTCATCATCATCTTTATTAATATTAACAAAAAAAATTAATTTCAAAATTATTATTTTTTTAATTATTATTTTTTTTAATTTTTTTTTTTTTTTTACCATTTTTTACAATTTAAATAGCAAACGAAGAAAAGAAAAAGTATTTGAGGTTTTAATCGACAATAGTAGTAATTAAAAGTAGTAATTTCCAAATTTTCAAGATTTAAAAATCAGGGAAAAAAATGGAGAAAAAGCTAATGGAAAGATGAAACATTTGCTTCACATACAATACTACAACAACAACAAAACAGCAAACAAAGAAAAAAAACACATTAAAAATTAATAAAAAAAAGTCTTATATACAAATACATGCCCTCCATTTTCAACCTGCCTTTCCCCTTCCCTTCTTCCTTTCTTCTCTTCTGTTCTCTTTCTTCTCCAATTTACCAGATTCCATTTTTTCCTTTCAATTGAATTTCACAGATTTTTAGCTTCAAAATCAATTTTTTAAAATTAGTTCATGATTTGTAATTTATGATATTTAATTCAGTCTTTTTAAGACCAAAATTGGTTCTGGGTTTCTCTGAATTTTGATTCTCCATCTGGGGTTTTGGCAAGAACACCCTCACGGACCACTTTTCAGTGTTGTAGAGAATAAATTCTTTTTTTTTTTTCTGGAAAAAAAAATAGTCTTATTAATTTTAATTTGTGGGTTATTAAAAAAAAAAAAAGCTTTCATTTGATTTTTATTTTTTGGAATTTAAAAAGTAAGGAAAAAAAAAGAGGAGGAGGATATGGGCAAGCAAGGACCTTGCTATCACTGTGGTGTTACAAGTGAGTTTTTGTTAATTGAATTGTATTATTGAATAAATTGCCCATTTTTTTTCAATAAATATAAAAAAAAATTAATTAGAACTGCAGATTTTGCAGTTCTACCTTTTTTTTTTTTTTTTTTTTTTTTTTTGGTTTTCTGGAATTTGACTTTTCTAGATTTATAAGTTTGAGGGAGCTAGTACTAAAACTGGGTTATTAAAATGAATGATGAATGTGTTTTGGGTTTAATTGCTGTATGTTGTGTTTGTTTGTGAATTTTAAGATTGAAGGGTAACAGAATTGCAGGTTCCCTTAATCTGGGAAAAATTTGTGGGGTACCTTAAAATGAATGGGTTTTTATTTTCTAGTTTTAGGATTACTTGCTGGTGTTTGACTCTTTTCTGGGTAAAAAAATTGCATCTCAAAAGTTTATATATACTGGAGTTTGAGTTGGTTTTTTTTTGAAAATTTTGATATTTTTCTATAACCCATTGAACCAATTCAATTCTTATTAGCATTTCCATAAAGCTTCAATCTGAATTGAAGTTCATCTTATTGGGGTTGGTTCAATCCTCTTTTTTCCGTGTCGCCGCGCTTATTTGATTCATAATTGAAAGTTACAATTGGTGAATTCAATTGATGCTGTTGCTAGTATTAGTGTTTTTCCAAAGTGAATTGTCATTTGGTATCAATCACCTGTCTGCTCCTATATATGGAGAGGGTCTATCAGCTGGTTTACCATCACCATTTTCGAGTAGTTGTGTTTAATTTGTTGATTGAGGGTCAATGGAACCAATAAACTCTGCAAAACCATTGTTTATTTTTTCCATTGCCTCTACTCTTCTTAGAAGTATAGGTTTTCACTGTCTTGTACACCAAAAGTCTTATCTATCTACTACCCAGTCCTGCTCAAGGCAATGCCAAAGTTTTCATAGAACACCAAGCTTCTTCTGGCTTGATCACAGACTTCACTATCTCGAGTCTAGTGTAAGAGTGAAATCAGAGCTCAGGATAGCTCAATCATCATTATTTAAGCTGCTGTAATAGTGTAATTGAAGCCATTAGAGTCTGTTAGATGACTGAGAACTTCCACACTTGTTTTGGGGAAATGCATTTCATCTTTTTATTTGATTGTCAAATCCCTTCTGCCTAAAAGTCAGCTATAATGTGTTTTTTTCATTAGTGCAACTTTAGTTGCTTGTGGCTTGCTCATGTTTGGAAGCTATGATCATTGCTTTTCAGTCTTTATTAGTAAATCATGCAGTCATTTCACTCATTTGAGCTTCCACTTCATACAGTTGTCTGATCAGACTGTTCACGAACTTCTCGTGACTTTGAAGGATGGAAGTCTCAACCCTTATGTATGGGTTGTTGTTGCAGGATTTCTGGCTTCTCACTTCTGCTTCTAGCTACTCCACATCCCCTCACCTTATCTTTGACTCCACTAATTCTTTGTCTCCTGAGCATATCCTAGTTATTGAAACCTTGTCACGGTTCCTTTTCCCTATTGAGGTGTCCTGTCTTACAATTCTGCTTACTCGAAGTGCTGCATTCTGGTCTAATGCATTCAGCTCTTTTTGCAAGTTATATGCTATGCCAGACAATTGTTGCTACCCTGCTTGGTCAATGCAAACCTTATGACTTGATTTTCTAGCTCTTGCCTTTTCAATTTGAGAGTCTCAAATTAGATTCTTGTTTATTGGTTTGCTTATTCAATACAATGAACATTGCAAATGTTAAACTTATACATTTGCTTATTCAATACAATGAACATTGCAAATGTTAAACTTATACATCATTTCTAAATATTTTTGTTGTAAAAAAATGTGTGCATGCTGGGTGTTGACATTTATGCAAAAGATCCTTTGGGTTGCATTTTCTTTGAGTTTGATATTGGAAATTTGATGCAAATTTTATAAAGTCTGTATCTCTGAGATAATTGAATTTGGGAAGCACTGTGGTATATCAAGGCTGGAAGTTTATGACTTTGGAAACCTTCAACCCCCTCCCCCCCCCCCCCCCCCAAGAATATTTGCCTGCAAAGATTTCTTATTGCTGAACATTTGAAAGTGTTAGTTATTGCTGTAGGCTTCCATAAGCTCGACGTGCAAAATATTCTAAAGCGGCTCCTAAGCCATTCTTGTTATTGAAGCCCTTTGTTTATATAATGTTTTTGACATCATTCTACTAATGCAGGCACCCCACTTTGGCGTAATGGTCCCCCTGAGAAGCCTGTGCTTTGCAATGCTTGTGGATCTCGATGGAGAACCAAGGGAACTCTTGCAAATTATACCCCTTTACATTCCAGAGTTGATCCTGACGAGTATGAGGATCATAGAGTGGGCAGAGTGAAGACCATGTCTCTTAAGAAAAGGGATGATAAGATAAGCAAAAGGAAATATAATTACGAAAATTCCATTGATGGGGATTTTATCCCTGATTACAGCCAGGGATTTCAGAAGAATATTGATGAGGATACGAGTAATAGATCAAGTTCTGGCTCTGCCATATCGAATTCTGAAAGCTGTGCTCAGTTTGGCAGTGCGGAGGCTAGTGAATTGACAGGTCAGAGGCTAACCTGCACTCTAAAATTGACATGAGTGAAGGATGATGCTAGACAATAGGTGTATCCATTGAACCCTTGTGTATCTAGGTTTAATTGGAGGGTTGCATTAGATGATACCTATTTTATTATCCAGCGAGCAATATGATTTTGAGTGGAAGTCCAGAGGCCATATCTGTGATGATTGTGAGTGGAAGTCCATGAGGCTATATCTGTGATTTGGGTGGTTGGTGCTTAACATCATTCTCAATGTGCTACTTGCTAAAATGAACATCTAGAAGGAAATATTGGTACTTCATTGGTGCTGTACTCTGTAGGACTGGATTGTTCATATTTAGCATGTACAGTTTGCTGAGTTATCATATGTGAATCGCATGTAAATCACCATTCATCATTATAATATACATGAACTTGGAGGAAAAACAGTGTGATGTTCTGTTGTTGGACTATCAAGCTTTGCTGCTGATGAATTAACTGCTGGAATTGTTGTGAATAGAACACTTTACATGCTGTCCTTTTATGATTTGTGTATTTTAGTCTTACTTTTGTCCTTTTCCAGGTCCAGCACAATCCATTGTGTGGGATGCGCTGGTTCCGTCAAGGAAAAGAACATGTGTAACCCGTGCAAAGCAATCTTCAGTAGAGAAGCTGACAAAGGACTTGTATACCATCTTACATGAACAACAGGCTTCTCACCCTTCAGTTTCCTCTGAAGATGACTTGCTCTATGAGAGTGAGGCCCCAATGGTATCAGTTGAAATAGGTCATGGAAGTGTACTTATTAGACACCCAAGCTCCATTGCACGAGATGAGGAATCCGAAGCTAGTTCCCTGTCAGTTGAAAATAAGCTTTGCAGAACAGATGAGGGCTACTCAAATCCTGCATCTATGCTGTTGTTTAATGACAGCAAGAGTGTGGGTAGCTCCTGCTTGGGGGTGGAAAAAGTTAAGAGGCTAAATGGCCACATTCTGCAGCTGGAGCAAGTTAAGAGGTAAACCTTATTCACATGAGTTACCTAGAAATTGTCCTGAAGTGCAAATATAACTGACAGGATTTTCATCCTGTATGGTGCAAATAAGGCCTGAAGAGTATTCGTATGATATTACATTATTACTTAACATGTGTTCAAGTTGTTAAGCTACAATTCACAAAGATTATTTAAAAAAAACTCACTTTAAATTTTCCACTGTTATTTGTTTTGCAGGGAAAAATACAATAATGAGAGCATCCAACTTCTGTGGAATCATGATTCTCTGCTGTGCGACATTGACTTGACTGTGAGTTTCATCCTTACATGTTACAGAATAATTACAGCTGATGCCCAATACTACTGTTAAAGCCGTAAAGGTGTTTATTCAATTTCCCCCCTGATTTTGTCTTTTAAACTTGCATCTTGGTTGAGAATTCTGCTCACAGAACAACTACTGAAATTCATTTATTTTATAGAACTCAACTCACTATTGTTGCCCATGAGGCCATGAATGCAATCAGTTGTGCTCGAGTGTGGGTTTGTTTGTATCATGTGTTCCTATAAAGCCTGTTATTTTCTTTCTTTTCTCTCAAATAAAAAGAAAGAAGTTTTCTTCTCTTTATTCAAAACCTAGGTCCTGAAACTTTGTTGTTCTACATTACTCTGACATGGAAGCGATACAACTTTGAATGTTAAATGAGGATCATCCATGTTTTTCTGCAGGAAATTGTCAATCCTGATGTCTTTCGGGGTCACTTAACGGATAAGGAACAGCAGGATTTGCTCAAGTATCTGCCTACTGTCGATACCTCCTCTGTTTCTGATAGGTTAGTGTCCTCCTTAATGATTTATGTATGTTGTTAAGAAAATCCAACACCTCTCAAATACTTCTCAACATAAATTTTTATTTTAAGTATTTCATATGAAGATTCAAAGGCTTATTATTCCTTTTGTTGTTCATGCAGTCTTGGAAGCATATTTACCAGCACTCACTTCAAGGAGAATATATCTTCTTTCCAGAAGCTGCTTGCCGATGGAGTATTTGATACTTCCTTTTCAGGAATACAAACTGAGGATTGTAAGGTCCTTAAGAGATTAGCTTTGTCCAATATGACCAAGTGCAATTGGGTGGAGTATCGTAATTCACTCAAGGTTCGACCTGATTTTCTCAATTTATCAGCTTTCTCATCAAGCTTGCCACTTATTTCACACATTGACATGAATGGCCTACTCATCTGTTTGATTGCAGGATAAGAGAACTAAAGAGAGTACAGGAGAATCTGTCCGCATATCAGAAGCTAAATCCTGCTTTTCTGGTAACTTTGCCAATGCTAAGAGATCGCGGGAGAGCCAAACTCATCGCTGGCCAGGTTAGTCACTTTTGTTGCCTTTTGGAGTTAAAAATTAGGCCTTAACTCCCTGGATACTTTTAGTATCTTCATTTATTTATAGATTTGCAGTTAAAGATTTTCTACCTTATTTGGTTTCTGAGATTATTATTAAGAGATAAAGAAGAAACATTGAAGTCTTAAATGTTTGGCTAACAATATAAATCAGAGATGGTATTCTAGATGAGATTTTGCAATGTACTACTGGTATCCAAGATTAGATTTTACAATGTACTATTGGAAAAATTTTCAAATACTTCATACGATTGAGATTGAACAATGTCTATTGTTGTAAAAATCTTAATTTGACTTGCGAAGAAGACCTATACTTTTCTAAGAATTAAAAAAATCGCTTGCTGCATGACTGCTGATTTTTCGAGATGTCCTGATTACATTAATTTTGTCTAAAAAATACTCGTATCACAGTTGTAGGTAGTAATTCATAACTGACCTATTTTTAATCCCCACTTGCTATTTATACTCAATTAAATCGCTTAAAGAATTGTCTTACTGCGGCTAGTCTTGATGAGATTACAATAAATTACTGTAAAGAAAAAGTGGATTGGTGTTTGTGACATCATGATGCATTTACAATTTGGCACCAAGGAAAGCATTTAATCTCTAATATTGGTTCAGAATTATGGCAGCACAATTAGCAAGTAAAATGTCACTTTTCTCCATTTTGTGTCTTTTCTATTTTGATACTAAGCTGATAGTGCTATGTTCTTTATCTTTCTCCAGAAACAAATGGTGCAACGAAAATCCCCAAACGAGTGCTCCTGAAAGTTGATTGCAAAAGCAAGCAACCCTTACAATATGAAGGCTCGTGCCTCACTCCAGCTCCGAAGAACCTCTTCACCTTCCCAACCAATGGTAGCTCCCTCATGCTTGATTCCTACCAATTCGAAGATGAAAGCTCTGATCAGGATCTGCTGCTCGATGTTCCATCCAATGGATCATACCCGCAAGCTGAGGCTGAGCTCCTCTGCCCAACCTCTAGTTTTGCATCTCAACAAGCCAGTAGTAGTTCTATACCCATATCTCATTTCCGTCCTTGACAAATACCGAGCAACTGTTCCATCCATAGGCAGTGGACAATGCCATCCGAATTCATAGAACAAATTTTCTTTGGATGCTGTTTAATAGTTTTGTTATGACCCCTCATCCCCCTCCCCCAAAGTGCCTATTTTGAACTTGGATAGGTAAGGGGAATATGTGGGTTTCTCTTTTTGTATAGGTTGATGATGAAAGCTTGTAGCATATATAGCCATAATGCAGAAGAGATGGTAAAGATTTCGGGGTACTGTATGCAGTTTAGTCCCTTATAAGCTAACATATGGCATCCTTATGGGTAAACTGTATTGTGGGGGAAGTACATAGCATCCCGGTTAGTGAAGGAAACCGAAGTGAGTTTTCTTAGATGCCTGTAAACAAATGTCATCTTCATCCATATATTTGGATATATGGAGAGTTACTATAGTGAAAAGGCTTTGCATTTGCTTGGCTTTCTTAGATACAGGTTTACATAGGAGGTAACCTGACTCCTCAGTTCATTTTAGTCGGGAGCCTTGACAAATCGGGTGTCAATTTCCGAGTGAAGTAATAGATAGATTGAGTCAGTTGTAACTAGCAATAGCAAAACTTGTCAAATTTTCACTAGTTCTCACCAAATACTTTTTTTTGTTTGAAGGTGTCTAGTGTTCAATCTTTATTATGTATGCTCCCCATGTTTTTGTCTCACTTTTCTTCCCCTTCCTTTACTCAAGTTTTGACCATCCTTGGGTTTGGCTTAGTATCAAAGTTTGGAGGCTCATTCATTGGGACATGCCCTTTCATATTTTTTTAATTCCAGTATATTAAAAAATTACTTAAATTATATCCTTTTCCCCCAATTTACTTGTCCTCTCCCCCCTCCTCTCAAAGTGCCTATCCTCCTAACTCGGGCTGGAAAGATTTGTGAGAGATTTCAGACTCGTAGAACCCTTTTCCTTACCAACTAAGAAAAAAAATTTACTTGTCCTACGTGGATGAATGTGAGACTCAACTCTTGGTAAAAAAATCTAAGCTAAGCTTGGTCTAGTGGTAAGGATTGTCACCTTCTAATGTTGAGGTTGGGGGTTTAATCCCCACTAGAGACACTTTGAGGGTGGAGATCCCTTACCCTTTCCCCTCATTCTTAAAGTGTTTAACCCACAAATACCGAACCAAAAAAACCATGAGGGTTGAGGTACGGTAGGGTTTTTCTCCTTACCTTAAAAAAAAAAAAAATCTTTGTACAAAAAGAGAATTTTTCATTGAAACAACCACAAGACAAAAATGTGGCAGATACATTAGGAGTTAGGACGGAGAAATATTGAATATGTAAGAAAATGTGACCCAAAAATTATGAAAAAGTCGCATTAATATGATGGAATCCCATAATTTTATCTTGTGGTAACATGGAATGACTTGTTCTTATGTGTTACTCAGTCCAAACTTAGATAATTATAACATTTATTTCACAGAAAGGATAATTTGACCATGTAAGAGAAGTAAAGAAGCTTCTGAAAGCAACTACTAAATGTTGCAAAGACTGTAATCCTAAAGTAAAACATTAATTGGCTTCAATCTCTTATCTAAGCTAGTGGAAACAAAAGTTGAAGCAATACACAAGAAACATCATTTTCTCATCACAAGAAATAAGTGGACATAGATTTTACATATTTACATATCAGAAACACTTTAATTCAAGTAACAATACATTTACATCTCCAAAGCCTACACTAATACAAGATTAAGACACTAAAGTTACCAACTTTATGGATCAAAAACTTCCTTGTAGTTCCTAGATAGGTATTTTCAAGAAATCATCTTCAATCTTCATCACTACTTCAAACTACTCATCCACCTCCGGGAGAAATCTCGATCGAGGAAATGTCATTCCATGTCTCTTAGCCGTCTCCAAAATATCGACCTCACCATCATCATTGGAACACTTATCACTCACAAGCATTCTCAAAACATCCAAAATGCATCTCATTGCTTCTTCTTCACCACCCTTGGATTTCTCATCTCTATTTCCTTGTACACTAGCCTCTTTCGAATCCCTTTCCACATTACTATTTTCAACCACTACATTTTCATTCGCGCCCCCATTTCCCTCACCACAAACTTCTTCTTGATCACCCTTGGACTCTCCATCCTTTTCTCCCTCTAAATTTGCTTCCTTTGAACCGCCTTTCACGTCTACATTCCCAATTAACTCCCCATTTCCCTCACCACAAACTTCTTCTTGATCACCCTTGGGCTCCCCATCTTTCTCTCCTTCTAAATTTGCTTCCTTTGAACCGCCTTTCATATCTTCATTCCCAATCAAATCTCCAGTTCCCTCACCCCAAACTAACCCAAACATCGAACGAGGCAACTCCCTCTTCCCTCGCCTCGTTACATCCTCCACTTCCTCCTCCCTCATCTTCACACCACCATCTCCCTGCTTCTCATCATCCTCTACTTTCCCACTACCTAGCCCGTGATCACCGCCTTCCTTATCGACTATCTCCACAATTTCTCCCTCTTCCTCAACATTGATCACCTCAGTTTCCATATCAAATTCCAGCTTCTTCATTACTCCACTCCCTGCTCTCTGCTCACCCTCAACATGAACATCATCATCCAATTTCTCAGTACATACTGCACTTTCCGGAACAACGGGCCGTAAAGAGCTCACCTTCTCCACCTTCAAATCACCACTAAACACAACGACTTCACCCCCATCATTCTCCCCTTCAATCACCATTTTCCCAGTGCAATGAACCAATGGACTAACCTTATATTTCTTCAATTGAGGCTCAATTTCACTCTCCCTTCCCTTCAATTGCGCCTCAATTTCTTTCTCTCCTCCACAAACCCCCTCCAATTTCGTCCCCGATGTTTCCCCCTTTCTCTCTCCTCGAAACCCTAGATTTTTTGGCGTCCCAGGATTCGCAACACCAGCCGCTAATTCACCACCACCCTTCATCCCGGAATCATATGCACCGTCCAATTTCCGGAGAATTACACCGGAACTCTCTACCGCCGGTGACTCATCTTCGTCGGGAAATGTCTCGTCTTCTCGAGCAAATTTGGCGTGAGAGAGAAGCTCCTCTTGGGAAGATGAATACCGACAATTTTCGGTGATAAAAGCTAATGGGTCTTGTTCTTCGTCCGCCATTGATGAAGCTCTGAGCTCTGAAGAGAGAAAATTTTCGAATTTTTGTGTTTGGGAAGAGAGAGAAAATCGGTGGTTAGGGTTTCAATTGTAGTGAGCTAATTTTCCCGCGCTTCCATAAAAGAGACGATATGTGGGTCCCTTCAATTTTCGGTTCGTTGGGCAGTTTTTAACTTCCGGTTTAATTGGTTTGGGCCATTTATTTTATGGATTAATGAAGGTAGCCCAATGAAGTCACAAATGGTAAAAAAGCATAGAGGAAATGTAAATTTTAGAGATGATTTTTGGAGAAAATATATTGTATTGTGATATAGATGATGTGGAGGGGTGAGAAAGTGGTAGAGAGAGGGATAATATAAATTTTTATACATTATGGTATTAGGATTCGTTAGGAATTGTTTGAGTTAAAAATTGGTCAAATTGATAATTTTGAAAATTGATATAAAAAAAAAAAAAAAAAAGTTAAAACACCCTTATCTTGTATCGGTTTTAAAATTAGAAAACAATTTAAATGATAAGATTAAGGTGATGTTTAGTTCAATTACTTTATCATTTTAAGTGCGATTTTTTTTTTTTTTTTTTTTTTTTTTTTTTTTTTTTTGTGACTAAAAACGAACAAAATTCATAAGCAACAGTAGAGTCATAAACAACAATAGCGTTTTTCTCCAAAAATAAATCAATAAAACCAACCTTGCAAACTAGCAAAAGGAAAGCGAGATACTTGATATTTTGTAGTGATTGAATAAAGAGGTGATTTCTGTCATGTAATGACTACTTTGCCATAGCCACACATTGTGTGCCACTCGACAAGTGTTGCTACTAAAAAGACTAGAGAATTCAAGTATTAAAAAATGCTGAAATTTAATCTTAACTTGAATGTACAATTGATCGTTGATTCCTATTTATAGCCACCATCCTACTTAAGTAATCTTTCTAGAAAGGTCTCTAACCTTATCAAATGGAGAGTTATAAACTACAAGACTTACATATATTTGTAGATCATAATGCATGTAAACATTTTTAGAATGTACACATGTTCTTTGAGCATTCTAGAGTCAAAGATGCTGAAAACTCTACCTTCCAAGATGCATCTAGAACATTATTCTATAACCTCTTTTAGAAAGCATCAAACCACTTGTTGCACCAACTAGTGGTTTCAAAACCTTATATTAGAAAGGTGTCCAAGCCATCATCTTCATTAGGATGAGATATTTAGGACCCCAAGTCTCGGCTCAATCCGAACCCATTTGGACCTTTCATATGGCCCATTATGTAACCACAATTTGGGTGTGTTTGCTAAAAATATACCCTATTCCAACATAATGTTATATAGAGGTAAGATTGCTCCTAGTAACCCCCGCAAACCCTCTAGGCCATAGTGCACCATGCCTTTGCATCCCATGGTGTGAGGCGAGAGACGACCCATGACGTTAAGGGGTTAAAGAATGATAAAAATAGGAGAAGGTAGTACATGTTATTATTAATATTTATTAAGAATACTTAAGTAAGGAAGAATAAAGATGATTATATCATCATTATCATTATAAGTTATTGTTTAGAATATGTAATCCCTTGATTTACTCTTTAATTTTGATAGTCAAAATATATCCCTTATAATTAGCTAACGTACCTAGTCACATATTGTATCTAGTCATAGTTTGATATGTTCAATATTCTAATCTTGTACTATATATACTCGTGTATATTCATCAATGTAATTAAGCTTTCCAATATTCTCTTTCTCATAACTAATACATAGATGCTCATACATACTACAATTTAGCATGGTTAATGTGAGGGGTGAGCCGTATCAAGGCCAAGGATTCGAGGAGGGATGGGAGAGTTTAGAGTTGTATGGAAGAGACTTCGAAAGCAATGTATGAGGTTTTTTCATGATCAATTATGTGTTGAGTCTTGGGAATAGGCAGGATGATAGTTCCATTACTCTTAAGCCGAATTAGATTGTTTGGAAGAATGCAATGCCTAAGTCTTTGACGAGTTAAACTGACAATACAAAACAACAGGTAGATATAAACAAGATTATAGCTTGTAAAATTTGGCCAAAAACAAGCAACATACTTATCATAACTCATCAAATAGAGATGTCAGTTTTTCTTTAATTTACGGAGTATAAATGATGTTATGGTATGATATAAGATTGTGCTTTGCACTTTCATTTGAATTAGCAGAGTTTCAATTTCGGATTTTGGTGGTTTAATTGGTAGTTTTAACTGGATTGTGGGTTACATTTTTTGGATGATGGTTATTATTTTTGTAATTACTTCACTAGGATAATAATGGTGATACAATGTTCACTACATCTTTGACTCATTTACAATTTTCATTTTTAGAATTTTTTCTTGAAGCCAATTAAACCACAAAATGTTTGAGGAGACGCATGTGAAAGGTCATTTTATACTAGAAATTAAAAGGTTGTTTTATTTTTGAAAAACCGGTGAAACTGTGAAAGGTTGTATTATTCCCGATAACTTTTCAAAAAAAAAATTCTTACTACATCCCGTCCATATTACTCGCAATTTTAGGGTATTATTTATAAGATATAAAATATTCTAAAGTTACGAATAATTTGGACTGAAGGTAATATAAAAAACGCGTTCGGTATATATTAATTTCCCATAAAATACCGAACATCTCTATAGTTCTGCTCCTCCTCAACTGGTTAATGTTTCTTCCTGATATCGAGTGAGCATGAACACTTTGAACAGATGACACTAAATTATCATCACTTACAATTCCAAGATTTATTTAAACCCTCGAATCTTCAAGATTCTTCTCTCCAATTTTAGGTTTTCATATATCCATTATTAATCACCCTTTTTCATATTTTTGTCTGTAAATAGGGTTTTTTTTCAATTTCCCATTAATTTGTACCAAGTTTATTCAAGAATTCTATACAATCTATTTGCCTATTTTTCGATTGCTCGGTAATTTCTGCTACCCTTTTCTAATTTGGTCATCTTGCGACATGCTATTACTTGTTAATTACATGCAATTTCGTTTTTTGATCCTAGATTTCTTATTTTTATTTGGAGTATAAAACATTGCAATACTATTCTTGGGTTAAATTGTTGTCTTTTATATTCGTTTCATAGTTGAAATTTGCAAAAAAAAAAAAAAAAAGGAAAAAGAATGGATTGACTTTTCTTAATCGATTGATTTTTTTTTAAATTTTTTTTTTCATGTTAGAATAATTATAATAAATAGGTAGGAATGGCTGTTTGTTGAATTATGGAAACATTGCATTGTGTTATATTATATGATTTAATCTTGTTTGTCTATTCTTTTTGGTATATTTTCCATTTTAAATACATGTAGTGTAGGATAGAGTAGTTTGTGTTGCTTCTCTAATCTCCTTTTGGTGCCAATCTTCGGGGGTTTTGCTAGTTTTATGTATTTTTGTGTGTTTCACACCTCTTGTGATTGTTTCCTTTATAAGATACCTAGTCCTCTACTACTTTTACTTAATAAGAATTTTCCTCAGGAAAAAATGTTTTTATGTTGTTTTTTTTGAACATAATCTCTAGTTCTTACCAAAGCTTTCCCACTAATGTGATCGATATGTGGATGGGATCATTGTAATGGTGCTACAAAGAGGTCTTGTCAATTGTCAGCCTTTGTGTTGAATTTGTGTATATAAAAATTTAGGAATTTTTTGACAAAAATGGGATCTTTTCAATGAATTGGGTTAGTTTTATATGCTTGAACTAGGCTGATAATATTTTAGCACTGAGCCACTTATGTTGGGTCTAGGTTGTGTCTTGTTGTTGTGTCGAATGAGCTCTTTAGCAAAGGTTTTGCTAAAATTTGTTCTTGCTCAGTTGTTAGTCTCCATATTCTTGTCAAAGAGGAAAGGGTTGAAGACTTTTGTTATTAAGTCCATCTATGTAATTTGGTTGGTTTATAGTAAATTTTTATTAACTCAATGCATTAAATCAATCTCAACACCATTCCATTTTTCTTGTTGGATTCATATCGTTTTTCTATTGGTAAGGTCGGCTTTTCATCTCTAGACTCTAGTGAATGGATTATTTTTTTTTTTTTGATAGATTTCAGCAAGGAGTGAAAATGAGCCCAATGATTGACGAGGACATGCTGTTGGATATCTTAGATAATTCTCTGTTAATATCCCCACCAGAGTATGGAATGCAGAACATCCTTGGCAATTGTGATTTTCCCAATGGGTATGGGACGATTTCTCCACAGAATAGCATGCTAAGTAATTGTGAGCAAATAGAGGGTGATGATTGGAGAAAGGGAGGAACACTTCGTGAAGCGGAAAGGCAGTCGGTTTCAGAAGAATCTGAGAGTCATGATTTACCTGTTTGTCCAAATGGTGCCGAATTGCCTGCATCCAGTTTAGTGAAACTTGAAAGGGTAGAGGATGGATATGAAGAGTTGCCGAAGATGCCAGTTATGAATCCTAAACTACCAAGTGCTGTTAAGCATGAAGTAATGGATGAAGCAGCTTTGGTTCAACCTTGTTTACTTCCAAGTCCCCGTATCTCACCAAATCGTGGGCGCAATGGACAGAGATGCGCATCTCAAAAGAGAGTTTCTCCTGTCTGTGATATCCGTAGGCGCAAAATGCCTAGACTTGTTGAAACTCAGGACAAACATTTAGGAGAATGTGAAACAGTATCAGACATTCATGAAGCTGTTGTGAATAATATAAATCAAATTGGAGAACAGCCTGATGATAATGTTTTACAGGACAAGATACAAGAAGATGCTGTTTTAGGAAATAGTGGAGATGTAGTTGAAGACCCTTTTGATTCACAAAAAAGTGCTAGTGTTCACATGAATATGCAACCACCCTTGTTTAGCAAACTATCTAAGAATAAGGGACGAGACAATTTATGTGAGGAAAGCAATTGTGAACAAGGAAAGGGAATGAAACAGTCAGATGGTAATGGAAAACAGAAAACATTTTCAATCAAGAAAAGAAATAAGAAGAAAACCTCTGCTGGATTATCTTGTAGCAATACCAAAGTGGTAGAAGGTAGAAATACAGGTGTTGAGAATGAAAGGGGCATGAGTATGGTGCAAGGCCCAAAGTCTGTGCCTAACCCTCTGAGAGAGGGGAAAGAGGGAGTTGAAACCTCCCAATCAATGGCTGGGGTAAAGATGAAAGAGGGGATGAAGCATGGCTGTGTTATGAGCAACAAAGGTAATTGTTTATCCAATACAAGTGATGCTCGCCGCAAAGTGCGAGATACATTACGCTTATTTCATGGTGTTCTCAGAAAGTTAGTGCAAGCAGATGAAAATAAGGCAAAGGGCCGAGTGGATGCAAGTATTCAGATAAGTGCTGCTTTGAAGATCTTTAAGGATCATGGAAAGTATACTAGTGCTAAAAAAACGTTGGGGCATGTCCCTGGAGTTGAAGTAGGTGACCTTTTCACCTATCGTGTGGAGCTTGATATTATTGGGCTTCATAAGCCGCTCCAAAGTGGTATAGATTTCATCAAGCTAGATACCAAGTTAGTTGCAATAAGTGTTGTGGCTTCTGGACGCTATGATAATGTTGTGGACAACTCTGATGTATTGATATATGTCGGTCAAGGGGGGAACATAGCTGGCGGATGCAAGCAGCTTGAAGACCAGAAGCTTCTAGGAGGAAATTTAGCGCTTAAGAATAGTATTGATAAGAAGAATCCAGTGAGGGTTGTTCGAGGATTTAAAGAGAGGAAGACAATCCGTGGTAAACGTGTTACAATTCCGACTTATATTTATGATGGGCTATACACTGCTGAAAGATGTTGGCAGGAATGTGGACCTCATGGAAAGTTGATCTATAAGTTTGAGTTGAGAAGAATTCCACACCAGCAAGAGCTCACTTGGAAGAAACTTGAGAAAGTAAAGAAATCAAAGAATTCTAAGGCACAGAAAGTTCAAGTAGAAGATATTTCTAAAGGTAAAGAAGAGACCCCAATTTTTGCTGTCAATACAATAGATGATGAGAAACCCTTGCCATTTACCTATATTACTTCAGTGATGTACCCTGACTGGTGTCGGCCCTTACCTCCCAAGGGTTGTGATTGTAAGGATGGATGTTCAGATTCAGAGCATTGTGCTTGTGCCCTCAAGAATGGCGGTGAGATCCCATACAATTACAGTGGAGCACTTGTTGAAGAAAAACCCTTGATATACGAATGCGGGCCTTCATGCAAGTGTCCTCCTACTTGTCACAATAGAGTAAGCCAACATGGTATTAAACTTCCTCTTGAGGTCTTCAAGACTGAATCCAGGGGGTGGGGTGTGAGATCATTATCTTCCATTCCATCAGGTAGCTTTGTATGTGAGTACATAGGAGAGATCCTTGATGAGAAGGAAGCCGAACAAAGAATTGACGATGATGAATATCTTTTTGATATTGGGCGAAACTACAATGATCCCACTCTTCGTGATAGGCTTTCAGCTCTTATGCCTGACATGCCATCCAAATTTAGTGCTATAGTAGAAAATGTTGGTTTTACCATTGATGCAGCAAAATTTGGGAATATTGGGAGGTTTATTAATCATAGCTGTTCTCCGAACCTTGTTGCACAAAATGTCCTTTATGATCACGAGGACAAGAGGATTCCTCACATAATGCTGTTTGCATCTGAGAATATACCTCCCTTTCAAGAACTTTCTTATCACTATAACTATACAATAGACCAGGTTCTTGACTCTAAAGGAAATGTCAGGAAAAAGATTTGCTACTGTGGTTCAGCAGATTGCACTGGTCGGATGTATTGATGAACTTGTGCAACTTGCCTTTCATGTAAGCTCTCTTAAAGATATTAGCCAAGTTTTTTTACTATATATTGAAAGTCACAAGTTTCTAGACCATTACTGTACCATCTTTATATTTTACATTTCATTCATGTATGCTGTGTCCCAGCATTAGCCTGAGTATTTTTATCTTCTTATGTGTGCGGTACCCCTTTTGCTTGATTAAGTTGAAGATCTTTACATTTGACATTGTTTCCAAATTTTTTTATAAATTTCTTTTCTGTATATATCTGATTTTGACTTTCATTTTATTATTTTATGACAATTATATGGTATTAAGTGAAGTTAAGCAAGTGTTATGCATTCTGACTTTTTGCTCTCTGTTTTCATCTAGTAATTTATGAAGGGTATAACCACGTATCATGGCTATTGTTTTAATGACTCGGGGCGGATTAGAAGGTTTTATGTTTTGCATTTCGAAATGATTTTTAATTTTTCATTCAGTGGAGTTGGGATTTTGGGTGGGTGGGGAGGAGGGTTCGGCCTAGTCAATTTGCATTATGTACATCCTTGAAAGTAACAAGTCTGTAGGTATGGTATTGCCGTGAGTGGCCAAGGTTTTCAGTAATTACTGCAGGGTTTGTTCAGTTTATGATGCTCATCTATATGCAGGATGTAGTTAGCTTAATTTTACTTATGATTGAAATATAGGAACTGCGGTATTGGTAGTTTGAACCATGTCATTTGAGGGTGTTTGTTACTTTGCTTAAGGAATTAGGTTTTGGATCTCTCTGTTTCTTTGGATGTCTGTTCAGCTATGCAGTTTCTGTTTAGGTGCATTGCAGCCTCAATTAAAGGATCAAGCATCTTTTTGAAGTTTTATAAGGTTTATGTTGGTATATGCTTGTAGAATGGAAGGACGTTGAAAATGGTTTGTTATTATATCATGATTTGAGACCTTGTAAACTTTTTCGATTTGGGAGGGCAAAGAAGTGGAAAGTTCTTGCAATTCAATGGAGATTGTCATTAGGAAAAGTACTGATCATTCATTGATACTATGTGTAAGACAGACTTGGTCTTTGACATTGGTAAATACCCTGGATATTTAGTTTTTGGATGAAAATATATAATTTTCTCATATAATCAGTGAATTTGAATCGTAGACGCATGCAGTTTCTGCACTAGAAGTTTAGTTTTAGTAATAAAGTGATTGAAGATGTAAAATTAGCAGTGTGTTACTGAATCAACTGGGTTGTTTACACTTCATTTCTGATCCAATAGTAGCTCTTGATTTTATGCATTTGAAGTATGGAATGTGAGGATTTTGGGGGAAAAAGTGGTTGTTTGGGGTGAGCGGGTGGGTGCTGACCCATTTGAGCGGTAGCAGGACAGTCTAGAAGACCTTTCACAGAAATCAGGTTTTTGGTTGCTCTGGTGGGGGTATCTGGTGTTAATTTGTTGTGGTGCGACGGAGACTGCTTTCATACGAACTTCAAAGTATTTTGCATTTTTGGTGATTTATCTCCCTCATAGCACCTTTAATTTAGGCTGGACAATATTTAGGGTGTAACCATGTAAACATCTCCATTATTGCTGTCATGGTCTCATCTGATGTCAAGTTAATTATTGTTTTTGAATAAATCCATTATCTGAATGAACCTCAACGAAGTTTGCATCTTCATGTTTCTTGCACTTGGTGGATATAACATTAATTTTTGTTCCGAGTCTTGCCTTTTTGGATCATATTGATCGATGATCAGTTAATTCTGTATGAATCAATTTACCCGTGTTTCTTCCATTGCAGGAAATAGCAGAGGAACACATCACAGGAATTGTGGTATGCCAAGACCCCAGAAAGGCGGGTGATTTATGTAGTTATTTTAGGTTTCGGAGTTGTTGAAATCAGTTTTGTTTGCATATTTCAGTCTTAAATTAATAAAATCATAGATTCGACGTATCTTCTGTGTTAGTATTTTTTATTCAAGGTTAGAGCCTTAGAGGCGGCTGTAATTAATTAGTTGCTATCATCTTTTGTAAGTTGTAGTTACTTTCTTCCTTGTTAATGGGATCAGCATAATTGGGTTCTGGAGGCTACCTCAAGGGTGGCAGGCAAAGGCAGCACTCAATCTAAATCCATTGTACGGCAGGGGCAACATTGTAATTTCATTTGGGTTGATCAGTCATCAGTGTGTTTGCTGTAGAATGCTGATGCATTAATTTATATTCATTAGCTGATGTTTTGTGTATTCTTTACTCCCTAATGATATCAATGCTATGCCTTTGTTCGGAATTTGTAGTCACATTGTTTTAACCCTTATAATGAAGGAAATGCAATCTTACATGTGTAGACCAATTATTAAATATTTATTACGGAGTATTATTTTATAAAACACGAGTCCAAACAATATCATACGTGGCAATTAATTTTTAATTGTACCAGTAGTGCGAGTTGATAAACGCGTTTCCAAAATATTATGAGTATTGAGGAGCAAAAAAGCAATTGAAGCCAGCAACAACAATCACAAATGTCAACTTGTACAAAACATCCATTTCAGAATGCATAAGCAAATAATCATAACCCTTCACAACTCCTATCTTTTGTTGTAGCATTATAGTTTTTTGATTTCCTTTTGTGGGAATGAAGAGGCACAAAAATTAAAGGTGATTGAACTTGAGAGTCTAAGGATTGAATGCAATTTCCTAAATTAGTTAAAACCGCGTAAAATCCACTTGAACATAGTACATACAAGTGAATTAGTGTACTGTGAGTTTTGAGAAATTGAAGCAAGAATGCTCTGTAAGACACTAGAAGAACACAAACACTAGGTGGTAGGACCAATTGTTGTGTGTTCGAACTGTTGGGTATTACTATTCCCAAATTTGGCTGTCAAAAAAAAAAAGTTCTCAAATTTATTTGATTAACTGTATAGAAGGAAGTTGTTTGGCGTACAACTAGTTGTATCTTGCAAGGCATAAACAAGAGATTTAAGATTAATTTTTGGGTCACAACTTCACAAGGTACAAACACGAACAAAACAAAGAAAAAACGCGTTAAACACAGTTTGTGGTTACTTCTTGATGATATAACCCTTTTTCATCTATGGCAAAGTGGCCAAGTGTGGAGGGTTACTGACAAATTAATTAAATGAGTAGGGCATTGTGAGTTTCATTTAGTACGAGGTAAATTGCAGAAATTTGAATGTTTTTGTTTTTATATTATCCAGATTATTAAGGGAGGTTATAGTGTTATTAAAGCCTACAATTCGCAATTTGATAGCTAGTGAGGCACAAGTGGAAGTTATGTGGAACGTCTTAACCCCACCTTCAAAGGGAGTTTTGGATAGAGTCGGCATTTGAGCGTGCTTAACGATCTTTTATACTGGTACATAATAAGGTTTATAAATGATCGATTAAGACTATTTAAAGGGTACGCTAACACGATACAAGCACTTGTTATAGACATGTCTTTGGCCATTGCCACCCGTAATTAGTACCTAGTTAGGGCATGCACTTGGATCGATGTTGCTTAATTTTGTAAGGGACATAAAACTAGATTATTTAGTTGATAAGTTATCATAATATATGGATCAAAATGTTTAAACAAAGCTTTGATCCAATTTGATCCAATGGATACATAAAACTAGATTACAGATTACTTAGTTGAAGTATCAACCTCATTTGAAAATTAACGACTTCATAATTACAAAAAAAATCAATAGACCGAGACCTTGTTTAGTTCACCTTATTTTACTTATTTTAGAAAAAATAAGTTCAGATCAAATCATATACTATATAAAAAAAAGAGTTCAGATCAGAAAAAAAAAGTTCAAATCAGATCATCGTTTTACGTGCAGTTTTTTATCGCTAAATATCTTTAATTTTGTAATAAAAAATTATGAAAATCACATTTTAATAAAATACACATTATTATGAATCTAACAAGACCCTATCACTTGATATATTTTTTTCCGTAAAGATTATCGTATATTAAAGGTCAAAGTTTGGTCAAATCAGATCAAACTAGATCTGATCTGATTAGACTAGATCAAATAGATTCAGATAAGCAAAAATGAGGTCAACCAAATAAGCCCTAAAATACACTTAACCTAAATTAGACCACAATTAAGTTATACCGAATGGATTGACTTTCCATTTAAGTATGCATGATTTGATCCAATCCTATAATGCAACTTGCTAGCCATCTACATATGAATTCAATCATAGTCATATGCAAGTATGTGGTTAAAAAACAATTACAGATTACTTATTAAACTCAGGGTCAAAAGCTAGATCGAGAAAGCAACTTAATCTTAAAAGTCTTAGATTTCAAATATAATCATTGAATTTCTTTAATAGAATTTAAGCAAAATAAACATAATTAGTTCAATAGTGGGAAGGCAAAGGTGATCATTGCTTGTGCCTTCAAAAAATTCATCTTCCCTAATCAAATCACTACTAGAAAAAGCTCAACTACCTAACTCAACTATGAACCTTTTGTTATACCAATATTTTTTTTTTTTAAAAAAATCCCATTTAAATCCTTTATTTTGTTCTACTGCCTAACGCATTATAAATATTGGTAGCATATTGTAAAGTTACTACCTCAGAAATTCCCAAATTCAAACCATTTTTTTTTTGTTTGAAAAAAAAAAAGTTTAAGATAAGATATATGGGTTCCATAATTAAAAATTACACGTATGATACTGTAGTTGTTGTGCTATTTCTCCTGCCTGCATTAATTTGTTGCTTAGAAGAGCCCATCTTTCGTTCCAAGGCAACCTATTATCATGCTATTGATGGTCTTGGAACCCCAAGTATGTTTGTGCTCAATAATTAAGGAGTAAACATGAATTTTTTTAGCCGTACATATATATATACTCGTATAGTCGTATATCATAATATAATTCGTTTCATATATTTGTTTATCATCAATATAAGCTAATTTGTATTGTACTTGATTAAGAACAGTTTAATTAATTTTGTTTTAATTTGTTTATGTGTACGTAGTAATAATTGTTAAATTTGAAATTCAATTTAATGTGTTTGAAAATTAGGAGGAGGGTGTGGATATGGCGAGTATGGAAGAATAATCAACAATGGAGATGTAGCTGTGGTTACTTCTTCTAAACTCTACAAGGGTGGAGCTAGTTGTGGTGCTTGCTACAAGGTAATCTTATTTCTACCTTCGTTACAAATTATGTGCAACTTTTATACATCATTTGTGAGATATATAAATATTCAAAAGTTGCACATGATATGTAATGGAGTTAGTATTTTTCTACTCTTAACTATTCCAAAAAAAAAAAAAAGTTTCTTATAGGTTTAATTTGATTTTCAAATAAGTCCCTCATGATTTTATCTAGCTATTTATTTGAATATATTAGGTAATTTTAATTAAGTTAATTCCCCATATAAACAAATTTTGTTTATTTGGGGGTATAATTGTCTTTTCAGGTACCAGGGGAGGGGTACATGCGTCTTTTCATGTACTAATTGAGGGGTATATGTGTAATTTCCTTACCAAACAGTAAAAGCAAGTTGCAACACAGTAATTGGACAGCTCACCAAAAGTACTGAATAAATAACCACGTTTTTTCAATATATTTACAAAAATGCAACTAGATTAAAAATAAGTCGTTTATCTGGCAGATAAACTTGTATTTCTCCCTTAATTAGCTTTAATTTACTTTAACTTGAGTAATTGGTTTTGGATACATACATAGGTTAAGTGCAAGGAGGCAGTATGCAAGGAAGACGGAGTGGTGGTGATGGTGACAGACTACGGTGTATCAGACGGCGAAACGGACTTCATATTAAGCAGTAATGCATTCAACAAAATGGCAATGCCTAATTATGAGAAGGAGTTAAGGGATGATGGTAGAGTTCCCATTGAATACCAAAGAGTTGCTTGCCAATTTCCTGGAAAATCTCTAGCACTTAAGGTTGCGGAACATAGCCGTTTTCCTTCTTATTTGTCATTTCAGTTCTTGTACCAAGCTGGAGATGCTGATATCACTGCTGTTGAAATGTTTGAGGTATATATACAATAACTTTTATTTTTATATATTTTTATATTATAAAGAAAAATATGTTTTTGTAATTTTTCCCTTTAACTTCATGCATGGTTCGTTCAAGTTTAATCTTTAAACCCTAGAAATAATTATAATGTATATGTCCAATAGGAAAACAATTAAATTGAATTTGATTATTATTCATTGGAGTGGAGAAGTAAACAAATAGAAACAAGTTAAAAACCTTTAATTTCTCTCCAAAATTTCTAGTATAACCATTCAATGTTGAAATCAATCATAATTTATAAGAGGATTAACATTAAGAAATGGTATATAGTTCATGAATAATAATTGATGTATTAATATTTAGTTACCTGTGATAATTAAACAAATACAAGTGCAATTCACCACCATTCAATTATATAATAAATTACTAGCAAGTACATTCTGTTTTATTACGATGAAATATATAGATGTGACCGGTTGCATAAATAGATTTTCGTGTAACTATTTTGACACTTATAATGAGAAATCAATTGTAAAAGCTCTATCTACGTTCATGTATATCTGGTGATGTCGTGCTTAAAATATGCACAGGAAGAAGCCCTAGAGTGGAAGAGATGCCGGAGAGCGTACGGAGCAGTTTGGGACATAGCAAATCCACCAAGGGGTCCTCTAACAGTGAGGTTCTTTTTAGATGGAAGTGTAAGTAAGAGAGCTAGATGGGTTTTGGTGCCTAAAGTCATCCCTACTTATTGGCAAGCTGGTGTTGCTTATGATACTTCTATTCAACTTAATCAATTAGATAATTAAGGACTACTTTATTCATGTTTAATTAATTATATGCTGGATTCTTAATTAAGATATGATCATGCATCATTGTATGATTTTGTGGAGCAATTCTACTTAATTAAGTATTTTTTTTTGTTTTATTTTAAAAGCCACAATTGGCTTCTTTAATGAGTGAGGGGTTTGATTCTAGTTATTACAAGAAATTATTGTATTTTTCCTTTAATTTTCTAAATCTCTTTTAATAAGTTAATTTTATATAAGGAGTTTTGATTTGAGCTTTTTGATTATGTTTGGAATTTGGATGTAATAATAATGTGCTATATACTATATAGATAGTATGATGTATCTTTATGTATATTATCTTTTGTTTTAATCATGTAATTGATTAGTTAAGCATTGAAGGATAAACACATACGTGGTAATTCACAAGCAAAGAGAGAAAACATGTTATAGGGTTGCAAGGATAACAATAAATGCTCAAAGGTAATAAGAACCCTATGAATAGAGAGATAATCAAACTTGAATTATTGTACTCAAAATATAAGAAAACTTGATTTTAGCTTTAGTAAAGAAAGTTTAACTATACAAAAACTAGTGATTACTTTATTCTTCTTACAAAATAGTCTGATTAATTATTGAGACCAAATTAACATAAACTGAATGAACGTCTCATTGTCTGAATACTTTTTGGTATAAACCAAATCGAATTGACTTAAACAGTAGTAAACCAATTAAATATTTGATAGGTCAACTTTAGTGAATTTGAAGAAGATAGCTTCCTATAGAAAGTTTGCTCCTTAACTATAAGACTATTGACTATAGGGCGGTGCTTTTTCCAAGCATGCTCAAATTTAAAGTACTTTTTACACTAAATTAATTAATGATCATGTCTTAACTTCTAAGTTTAGTTTGCTTATCTTGGTCCTTGATCATTAAACTTGCATTGATCTCCAAATGCAAGGCATGATGATTGAGTCTTCGTTAATCTCGGACTTAAATAAATTAGTGAAGTAGTCAGCATAATTATAGAAGCTAGCAAAATTCTCAAGGTTATATTTATCAACCAACCTTTTTTTTTGAAGGGATTTATCAACCAACCTTAAATACACACTATTTCCATCTAAATTTAGTTGTTATATCATAATAATGTCATTGTGTTCACTCTATTTCACTTTATAATGAAAACTTTAATAATGATTAAATAAGTTTTCAATTTAATTATTTTTGTGATCATACTTCATTGATTTTTCTGTTGTAGATTTTTCAAACATTCAATTCAAAACATGTTGACAAGGGAGCATTAAAAAGTAATTAAACATAGCAATAGGAATATATTTTTATTACAAGAGACATTAATTATTGCATAGTAGTACATATATATAGTCCCAACTTTTATTATTGGTAATTCATCACTAATTCATCTAATAAATAAGGAAATGAAATTTCCACCTAAAAGAAAAAGAAATTAAAGTACCAAAGTGATAAAAAGTGCTGGAAAAGTTGGGACTAATTAAGGTAACATTGAATAATAATGCAACCTTGAATGGTTTTCATAACAATATATATAATTTGTAAGTTTAAGAAAGTTGAATAGAAGTGTCATAAACAACACCAGCTTGCCAAGCAAGTGGGATGACATTAGCAACAACCACCCATTTTGGTTCAGCAGTAACACTTGCACTTGCAAAGAATCTAACTGTTAGCCCACCTTTTGGTGGATTTTCCATGTCCCAAACTGCACCATATGCCCTCCTACATGCCCTCCATTGTAGATTTGCCTCCTACACAAATTCAAAGGTTACATTACAATGATATATAATTAGTAGTCATTTTTGTGTAAGGTAATGGCTCTCTAGAGGTGGGTATGTGATGGGCTGACACGAAATTGGTCCAATATGCCAAGAGCCCATTGTAAGCCTGACACGACATGAGTAGCTCATCATCAGTGGGCCATCCATGGACTTTGTTTACAAAACTTGGTACAAACACAAAAAATTGGTCCACATGTTGACTTGCTTATTTTTAACCAATCATTCCACAAACATATCATGTCTTCAGGTCATGTGGGTTGGACTCTGCATCAGCCCTAACCCTTTTATGAGATTTGTACGAGTTTGATACACATTCACTTGTATATGTTCCTCATAAAAGGTCACACGTACAATTTGTTATTCGATCAATAAATTATAATGAGACCGTTTCATCAGTTTCATACCTCAAAGATTTCGACCGCAGTAATGTCGTAAATTCCAGTCTGATAGTAGAAAATCATGGCAAGGTAGTTAGGATAATGAGCATGCTCGTGAACTTTAAGCATGAGATTGTTGCCAGGGTATCGGCATGGAACTCGTTGGTATTCGATATTAACGTGACCATATGCCTTGAGTTTAGCCTCCATGCCGGACTCGGCCATCTTTGCGAATGCTTGGCCGCTCAGAATGAAATCGGATTCATGACTTTCACCGTGGTCCGTCACCACAACTTCAACTCCGTCGTCATTGCATTCTTCTTCTGTGCACTTTATCTGTATTTTACACCCAAAGAAAATAAAATTAGTCATGCATCTTATAAACCCGTTACATTATTCTTACATGCCATATTGTCATGTATGTACAATGCTTGTAAACACGTTACATAGTAGTGAAACTTAACGAGTCATGAAACATATTTATAAAATCGGGTAACAACTCCCAAGTCCTAACAAAAGGTGGTAAAATTTAAAAAATCGTATCTACGGAGTAGTATTTATTAGAATGTACATGCATCCATATAATAATAGTTAATTATAAATAGTAATGTTAATACTACCTCCGGTCCGAATTACTTGCAATTTTGGAATATTTTATATCTCACAAATAATATCCCAAATTTACGAGTAATTTGGACCGGAGGTAGTATATGAATATATCTACCTTATAACATACACCACATCCAGCTCCATTTCTAAAGAGTCGTCTGGGAACAGCAGCTACGTCACCATCATTCACAGTTCTTCCGTATTCACCGTAGCCACATGCACCAGCTAGTCATTCAATCAAAAACCAAGATACAAGTTAATTTAGAATGCACAAATATATATAGGCCATATTAGCTACAATAATGCACAAATAGGAAAAAGTATTCAAGACTTTTGAATGAACCTATTGGACTTGACTTCTCACACCTAGAATCACAATTAAGCCACCGATTTTAATTAGAAATAATTTGAATACCATACGTCCATATCAGACCCGTAAATCGAGGAAGAGTACGTAATTAGGATCACATGAACCTCAATCTCAAAAATGTATTTACGACCAAGTACCTCAAAGTCACAAGATATAATTATACAGAATTTCGAGTTATTAATCAATTAAGCAACAGCCTTCTTATACATAATACATGTACTATAAATAAACAATCAGGGCTGCCGTAGTAAGTAGCTTTTGACGATTCTTGAGAGTAGCACAATGTTGGCAAGGAGATAATAAATGTAAATACAAAAACATAACAACCATATTTAAGTGGAAAATACCCCATTTTTTTAGTACTAAAATACCCTAAATACAAATATTTAATAAGGTATAGTAAGTGATCAATTGAAAAGAAAGAGCCAATTTCTAAGTAATGGGATAGCTAATTAAGGCATAAGATACAAATTCCTATTTATAGGAATAGAATTAGGTAATGGTACATTGGTAAATTAATCAAAGATTTGCCACTATAATCCTCCACTAAATTAATAAGGTGCTTAAGCTGCATTGCACTTACTAGAAAGCTTAGGGTTTTGGACAAATGTACGTACAACAATGTAATTTTGACTTTTTTTATAATTGGAACTTGGTTGTTAGATTGTGTGTCAATTATATATAGAATGGAAGGTATAAATAAACCACATAGCATTATAAACTAATTAGTGTACGTTTTTATAATTACATTGGTTAATCATAAACTATGAAGCCAATGATTAATTACCAGCAGGGATTTGTACTTGGAGCTTGTGACGCGTTTTCACTTCAATGAGAATAACTTGCGTGTATAGGGCGCACAATTATAATCTACGTCATGTATTTTGCTTATGTTATTATTTTAAGGACGAACCAAAATTAAACATTAAATCATTGAGTTTAACCACAAAATGAGTGATTCATGCAATAGTGATCTGAGTCTAGTGTGCGCTGGCATAACAAATAGTGTGTTCATCAGATGCATATGAATGATCAGAATTTGTGTTATTGATAATAGAAAACAATCGTGAAATATGAGCACCATTATATTATTTATGGTACTCCCTATTTTCTACATATGTGACATTATTATACCTATATATCGCTGGCTGATAAGGAGGTAATAATGCATTAGTATATATAGATCGAAAACAAACTCAACTAAAAGGTTAAGCTAGCTGATAGGCATAGTTGATCCGCCTAGAATTGGTTTTATATTATGTCATTCCCCTCACATGAAAGCTCTTTGGACTTGAAGAGTGAATACACGCAACATGGACATTCTTAATTATAACATGTGCTAAGTATCTCATCACAAGGAGGGTAGAGATTTTAAATGTGATCAATTCAACGAAAAGTCTAAGTTGATGGTTAGAACTTCATGATTGGTGATAGGCGTGTCGGGTACCTAACAAAAATAAACCTAACTAGACCACTACTATGTAGACGGGCAAGCAAGGGTCGAATCCCAAGAGACTATGGCTCAACTAATTAAATAGACTCAAGCAATGACTAAGCAAGTAACCAAATAAAATAAGTAAGAATCAATATCTAAAAAACTAATTAAAACGATTAAATCTAAACAATATGACAATTCAATGCTAAAAACATCCAAGATCAAGCTTCACCACGAATACAATTAATGCAATAGTCGTTCTACCCCTAATACATAATTCAATTGATTAAAGAGGAAAAGTAATCCATGAATAATACCAGTGGTCTCTCCCGAGTTATCAATGGCTTCTCTAATCACAATCAAGCCTACTTCCGTGGATTCATGTAAATTAAAGACCTTAAACACATTACTCTAACTTCCTAATCATCCATTCAACTACTCCCGTGATGAACTTCAAACCCTTAATTGATTTATTCAAATCCGTCAAAATCCAACTCTCGTTGCGATTAAAACAAAGGATTAATAACAATACCAATTATCCCTAATCTAGCATTGGCATAAGCATAATCAATTAAGCATAACAATTACAATTATTATTAGAGAATTTAAAGAATTATATCATGCATTAATCATATTCGGGATCCACTAGATCTTGGAATAAAGAAACTACTCACACATATTAACAGAAGCAAAAACAATATTCAATGAAGAAAACATGATTAATAAGCAATTAAAAGTAAAGGAAGAAATAAAGATGAATACCAATTGCTTGAATGAAGAAAAGTACCAATTGTTGATGATCAAAGATCAAAACTTAAAAGTGCAAATTAATCTAGATCTAGAGAGAATATTAGGGTTCTAATGAAGGTTTTAAAGCTAGAAAATAATAACTAAGTATGTTTTAGTCGGGGTTTACAAAGGGTATTTATATCCCTTAGTTAAGAAATCCCGAAAAAAGTAAAAATACGCTTCGCGAAACTCCGCCCGGTCAGACCGGGCAAAGCCGCCCGGTCGGGCGCGACAGATAAACTCGCCTTCTCGCACAATACTCTGCCCGCCCGGTCTGCCAGGGCAATGCCGCCCGGTCCGGGCGGATGGGAGTTGAATTCTTCACTTCTTTTCTTCTTCGCCCTGGCTGCCAGGGCAATGTTGCCCTCCAGGGCGATGGGGGTAAGATACATCTATGTACTACTTTTCTCTTCTCTTCTCCTTCCTTTGCCCTGGCTGCCAGGGCAATGTTGCCCTGCCAGGGCGGATACAGGTATCATCACTCTTCCATCTTAACAAACTCCGTGACCATCCAAATTAGTCTCGTTCATCCTGAAATACATCAAAAACAACGAAACTACCCATAAAAGCACAACATGATCACAACCCAATCAAAACAAGCTAAAATAAGCTATGAACAATTAATCTAAGCTTGAAAACTACTTAAATGAACTCTAAAAACACGCTCAATATACGACTTATCAATTGGTATTATACTCTATTAATATTTATTTTTTGTAAAGTAATTTCAATCAAAAGGTTTATAGATGTAACTTCATCCCTAAATATGTGTTTATGAGCTTGATGATAATTACTCCGTATGTTATAATTGCAATTCATAATAATATAAATCTCACTTACAAAGTTAAATTAAAATATAGTTAGGTTTAATTTGCCCTACTTGTTATTATTACTAATAAGCTTGTATAAATTAAATTTAGTTAAAATAAGTTCAGATACATTCAGTTAAAAAGAATACACGAGCTATGACAAATACGTTGTAAGTAACTCTGTAAGCATACTACTATTGAAGTTATAAGTCATTTATGATAAGATAATGTAATTCAATAAAAGAATAAGAAATTTGAGTTATAATTTCAAAGACCTATATAGAATTTATATTATGTAATTTTAGAAAAATCTATCTCAATGATTTAAATTTTACAGTATAAGTTTTTATGATTGATAGTTTAAAGGGTCAAAATTATTGCAGTTATGAAATGGCGCATTCTCTGTACCTTAATTAAAAACACATTTCGAGTCTAATTAGCTCAAATAAACAAGTTCTAATAAGGTCCCATATACCATTTGTTTTAATTAGGCTCAACAAGTTACTCAAGTTTATGCTATTGCAATCAGGTGTATCCGTGTGTAATAACATCCAATTAGGTCCAAATTTATTGCTTGCGGCATGAGGAATTCTCTTCGTGAGGAGGATTTCCAAATAAACACACACACACATACACACTGTTGGAAATAGAAGTGGAAGTAGTACGTGATGGGTTGCAAGGATGAAATTATTATTGCATGAAGTGAATTACCTTACATTGCATGGCTACTCCTACTCTTATTTATAGTAGGTGTAAGTCGGTTCTTTCCACCGACATACTACTATTCCTTTACTCTAGATCTTTCTAGGTGACTTAACATTATCTAGGACTTCCCTCTAGGCTAGATATTTTCTTAGATTTTTCCTTGATATTTTCTTAAGCATGTTCTAGAATATTGTAAAATATCTAATAACTAGTTACTTCAAGAATTTTCTAGATTATCTTTTTTTAACACTCCCCCTTAATCTGAAAAATCTTGAACACCGAGTTGTCTTCGAAAATGGAGGAATTTATCTGTTGGTAGTGCCTTGGTGAATATATCTGCGAGCTGATCTCCCGTCTTGCAGAATTGTAGCTCGATCTCCTGTTCTCGACCAGTTCTCGGATGAAGTGATGTCGTATCTCGATATGCTTCGTGCGACTATGAAAGACTGGATTCCTTGTCATGGAAATATCTGACATATTGTCACAATGGATGGTTGTTGGATCTTCCATGTCTTGCCGTAGATCTTGAAGAATTCTCCTTAGCCAGACTGCTTCACATGCTGCGCTTGTGGCCGATATGTATTCTGCTTCTGATGATGATAGTGCCACCGTTGCCTGTTTCTTTGATGACCAGGAGACGGACTTCGATCCTATCTGAAACACGTATCCACTCGTACTTCTTCGATCATCAATGCTTCCAGCCTAGTCGCTGTCTGTGTAGCATGTGAGCTTGTAGTCGATCTCGGACTCGTACATTATTCCATGGCTCTTCGTCCCTTTGATATACCTGAGAATCCTCTTTACTGCTGCAAGATGTGTATTGCTAGGTTCACTCATGAACCTAGAGACAATGCTGACTGCATGTACTATGTCGGGCCTTGTGTTTGTGAGATAGATGAGAGATCCGACCATGCTACGATAGAGCGATGCATCTACTTTCTCCTTTCCATCATATTTGGAGAGCTTCTCATGCATAGCCATTGGTGTCGCCATTGGCTTGCAATCGCTCATGTTGAAATTTTTGAGCATATCTTCAACATATTTCTCTTGTGAGAGAAAAATTCTTCCTGGACTTTGCTTTACTTGCATGCCAAGGAAGTATTTCATAGCTCCAAGGTCGG